GCGGGCGGCTCTTCCGGCGCCGGTCGCTCAGGTAACGCCGCGCGGCCCGGGCCGCCCTGGCGCGCTCCCTTTCCCGACCCCTTCCCTATCCTCATCCTTATCCCCGTCTCATCCCAACCGCCGTCTCCCCTGCGTTGTCCCGGGGCCTGGCTGCGCTGCCCGCTCGGGCCCGCGCGTCGCGGAGGGGAGCGGGGGCGCCGGGCTGCGTGGCGCAGGCCCGGGTGGGCGCCGGGGCCGCGCGGAGCCGCCGCCGCCGCCCGGCCCGAAGCTGCTCCCCCAGCCGGGCCCTTTGTGCGGCCCGGTGCCGGGCTGTCCCGCCCTGACCTTGAGCGTGCGGGTGCTGAGCGCCTCTTTCGGGTGAAACCCCCGCCGGGCCGGCCCGGCCCCGCTTTCTGGGGCGCTTTGGAAGGGTTTGTGGGCTGCACGGCGTTGTGCGGCTGCAGGGTTAAATTTCATCTGTTGATGCTGGTTTGCCCTGAAATCTGGTGATGCCAACTTGAAAAACAGGTGTATGCGGCAGCTCTTAGCACTACATACATTTAGAAATATCATTTCCATATCTATACTAAATCATTTGGGCTTTACTGGTTATTACTGCATTAAAAATCCTGAAATATGCTGGATATGGGGGTGCAGTCTTTGCAGAGCTTGTTCTGGAGGGCTCTGCCTTTCTAGTCCCTGCATTTTCATTGCTGGTGCATTAGCAGGATCCCCTGCACACCTGCATTTCCTCTGTGTGCAGTAATTCGCAGTGACTACATGATGATGTCTGTCACATTAACTGGTGGCGTGATACCTGAGTCCCAGCTGTGGGAGTGTGATGTGATGGAGGACTCTKTTTAAGCAGGGCTGTGCCTAGACGTTTGGAGGAAATAAGGGGCTTGCCATTGAGTCAAATATCATAGGTCCTAATTTGATTGTCAAGTCTTAGTCTGTTCATATCTGTGTTAGGTACCACATTAGTCAGCATGTCACATATGTTTGTTTTTGTTTGAAATATTCATAAGTCTACACCAAGCAAACTGCGTAGTCTCCTTTATGCCAATTCAATAAATAAATATCTCAATATTGCCATTATGTTAATACGGTGATTTTGTAATTCCCTCGGGTGGATATTCACCATACTTCGGAAACTGCCAGGATGTCAACAGCTTATTTCCTATTTTTGTTCCAGTTTAAGTGAAAATAGGTGCTCTTGGAGAGGTAAGTAGCCTGAAGTGAGAGATGGAGGAGGAGAGATTACATGCCCAACTTATTCTTTAGTCCGAGCTTGTTGGTAGCATTAGTGACAACAGGTGTTTAAACAGCACCCTGCAAAGGAAGCCTAGATATTATCCTGCAGTTTTCACTGGTGCTAAGGTTGCGCTTTGTAATACATGATTGTGTTTACTGTGCTCACCCTGGCAGTGCTGTTCTTGTTCCCCGAACACTGGAAACACTCATGACGTGCACAGCAAACTAAATCAGCCATAATTAACAGTCTGACTGGTGAATGTGCGCTCAGATTGTGGCCTTGTGCCCAGGTGGACAGGGAGAGGACACTTGCTATGTGCGTCTCTGACTTGGCTCTCTAGGCCACAGTTACTGCTACAGAGTTACCTGTAGTTTTCATGTCTTCCTCCTTAGCCAGGGTAGACTTGCTGGCTAAATGTGCTTGTTACCCTTCAGCCTATTTTTCCTTCTTCTTAAAACAAAAAACACAGAAAAAACATTTTTGGTAGAATGGTAGAACCAATCTCATATTAAATCATAATTTAAAAAAAAAGTTAAATTGTAAATAAAAAAGAATGAAACGTGATTCCCTCTGAGGAAGAAGAGATGGTGCAGGACCACCTTTTTCCCATCCCCAACAGCTGAAACCTGAAGGTCTAAGCTACTCACTAAATGGTTTCAATAACACAATGCTACTTTCTATTATTTTTTAATTTGCTTATAAATGCAGCATTAGTTCTTTGTGGTATGTGTTCCATTATTATAGAAATCTTAAAAAATTTTATTTTATGTTTTATGGAGAAATTTTCTCTTTGATTACTAATATAATTTGTAAAAATTGTAGGGAATCTAACCTTGATTTTAGGTCCTTGCTGGTTTACTTCTGAGAATAAGGAGAATGAACAAGTTTTGGTCCAACTACTGTTTTCAAATGGTCAAAAAGAAAAGATCTTTACTATATAAATTAGTTTGTAATCTATTACAGAATACGTGATATCTTAGGACATTAAGATATGTCAAAAAGAAAGAATGTATATTAAAAAGCTGGACAAACTGTTACCCAAAGTGTTGGGTAACCTTTTAATGCAATGTTTTGTAAACACTGCGAAGGATATCAGTATTGATTGGAGAAAGGAGTGTTAAACTCATCTGAAGCTATGCATTATTAGAATGATGAGTATGGAAAAATAAAAGATTAATGCAAGTAAAATGGTAGACAGTGAAACTTATGCAGTCTTTTTTTGTTTACGCAGGTGAAATGCAGCAGCAGGCTGGCAAACTCTCCTTTAAAACTAAGCGTTGTACAAATCTATCATTAAAAATTGTTATGTTGTTTTGAGCTTTCATTATAAACAAAATAAATAATAAACACATTTTATAGGTTTTGAAGTCAAGAGAGAGTGCGTTTTATGGGGTATCTGACCTGTGCTTTTTAGTACAGGCYGATTTCTCAGAAAATATCTCATGTTGATTTAGAAATTGTCAGTATAGATAATATACAGACTGTTATTCTGACTGAATTTGTGAATTTGAATTTAGATCTCCAAGGTTGTGTTTTAACTTCTTACTACTTGCAAATTTGGACTAGTTAGAAAAGTGCACCAAGAAGTGCAAAAACAATAGCAAATCTTAATAGGAAGTGCTCTATACTGCTTCAGGGCACTGATGAGACAAGGTCTAATTACAATTAAATATATGGGKTTTTTTTTTAATTATTTGGAGAATGCATCTTACTGCATTTTTCATTAATGTGGATAGCAATTAGCTAGAATAACAAGCTCAAAATATTTTTGTTCTTCAGAAATCCTTAAAGACACTGCTTTAAACAATTCTGAATATGAAAGGACTGTATAGAAAATCATTTTATAGAGTAATTAGCTGTGATCTGGAAAATCTGCATCTTTATTGATAGAATATATGTATTCCCAACATTTGATTTTTATCTTAAGAGACCAAGCTGGGATTTGTGGCATTTATTTTGCAGTTCATACTCTTAAATGTTTCTGAGAGGAAGCAAAATTTAATGAATTAACAAATGAGAAGGCTTCTGTTTCCCATGTGTTCAAATCTATGTTTGTGTTAAGTGTACTAAAATAAAAACATGTTCTTCACTTATCAGCTTGGTGTGTGGGCACTGTACGCAACTTAAAAGCAAATAGTTCAGTTTTGCAATTTCTTTTTCATTTGCCTTTTGGTGATCTATAAGGCCTCTTCCTGTCTGTCCCATCCCATAACCATGCTTTGATCAGTAAATAAATTTAGAATTACTCCTGAAATATCCCCAAGCTGAAGTTCTGAGGAATTCATAGGAAACTATCATGTGAGCCAACACAGCAGAGTTAGGACAATTCATAGCTCTTAACGTGAAATAAAGCAAGTGCYCTTGTGTTCCTTAGTGATGAGCCCCTTGACCTGTACCAGGAAGCCACGTTCCCRGAGTGACAAATGGGTGTGAGGCAGCCAGGTATAACATTTCCTGTGGCTTAGGTAAGTGTCAGAGGGGAACAGCAGCAGCTCACATTTAGAGATGAGCTTTGGAGTGTAACAGATACCTGAGAATTTATAGGAAAGGTGCTTACAGATGTGGTTCTTCTCATTCTAATTTCTTTTGTCTAAACCATTTAGAGCCTCTTAAGCAGGTCAGTAGTTTGTATTGAATTAAGACATAAGTTTGCAGTYTGGAAAGGATGAACATGAAGTGTAGAAAACAACTGTGAAAGGACTATCTTAACAGGCCTCAGAGAAAAGGCAGAATCTCATCGGTGAGGAGAGGAATTGAAGGCTGCTCTGGGAACAGAGTACCCTAGACTTCCAGCTAAAGGAGAGCCACAGTCCCAGATAACTCCTYCTGCCACCCAAAGTAATTCCAGAGACTTTATAGGCATAGTATATCCAGAGCTGCCCRCTATCTACTTTTAATCCCCTGCAGAGGTTGCAGATAGTAAGTGTCACGACTTATTTCACCCATTATTTGTGATTTGATGGTGGATTTATGAAGTAGTTTAGGATTTATTGTATTTCTTAGGTAATATAAATGCTCCTCGTTGATAGGCTTCATCACCCGTTCCCTTTTTGTCATCTGTAAAAAGAAGCAAGGTCCTCCAACAGGTTGCTCGTTGCCCATGTCCTGACTCTTTGTGAGACTGGGGAAATTATATGATATATGAATATATGAGAAAATGAGAAAAGATTAATTATATTTTGATACACTATCTTTAGACTAAATAAAAAGAAAACCTGTAAGGACAAATGCATCTTTTGTAAATGAGAGCTAATAAAGATGAGAGGAGATTTTTTTTTTTCTTTTTAGGATAGGATTTGTGCCAGGTTTATATTCTTTACTAGATATAATATTTACACAATACATATTCCATACTGATACGACTTAGAAGACAGAAAATTGATTTTTTTTTTCCTTTAGGAAAAAGAGCATAAAGTGATAAGAAAGCCTAGAATATTTCTTCTTTGCATAAAAACTTCATAATGATTAAATTTACTGATCACAGGCAGATAATATTTAAGTGTAAAGGGCTTTYTGGTCTGCATAGTATTTATAAAGAGTAATAAGGGAAAGCAGTAACATGGGTAAAGGAAAAGGGTTTGCTGTGCAACAGAATAAAATATGTCAGAAAGATTTCATAATTAAAAATGTGTAATAAACWGCAAGCATAAACATCAGCAAATATAATCAATTACTGGATTAGAGTAACTTCATGACTTTCAATTGATGGGCAATTGAGTGTTGTCTAAAGATGTAGGCGATTCAAATTAGTTGTTGTTAAGCTGAAAGAGAATATTCTGTCTGTCAGTAGGTCCTAAAAAGCTACCGGTTTAACCCTGCCTTCCTGCTATTCTTGTGTACCCTTTAACAACCCTCCCTCTGTGAGATCAGATCAGCTTTCAGGTTTTTCAAGTGTTGGAAGAAGACAGAATTGTCTGAATTTTTGGAATTGTCTGAGTTGTTGGAAAAAGATAGAATTCTCCTCCCAGCACTGGATGATCCTGTTGCATTTATGCTTTAGGTGAATGCAAAAAGATGCTGACGCTTTCTTCACTCAAAAAGAATTATCCGCTGTGTTAAGCTTTTACTCCACCCTTTGTGCTTGGAAAACTGAGACTTGTKCTGCTGCCTCTTCTTGTTCTGTGTCGCTCCTTTCTTTTTTTTCTAGTGTTAATATTCCATTTTGCTTTTGGAGAGCAGTTGTGCAGCTTTCTCTTGGAGAAATCTGTTGGCATCCTAGGGCTTCTCAAAGCAAAGCTGATTTTTTTCTGAACTTAATCCAAAGCAAAGATAGTTATTATGACGTGAAACTGCATGAAATAAACTTTTAAGTAAAAAGTAATATATAAACTGTTTATTCCAGTGGGATATCATGAGCTCTTTTGATTTGTCACTCCGGATATMCTTTTAAATAATACTTTCCATTTCTGTTCTGCCTCAAGGACAGGCTGTTGTTCTGAGTCAGCCAGCAGGATCACGGGTGCAAAAGATTTATAATTCTTGCCCCTTTAATTAACTCCCACAATCCTACTTTTTCTTCTTTTTTTAAAAAATACATATATACTTATTTTCCTGTTTCTTTTCTTCTGTGACTTTCCTTTTTAATCTGAAAAAGTAGAACAAGAGCAGTAAGAAGGTAATAAAAAGAATAAGGAAATGGATGATGAAGAACTTCGTTTTTTTGAGGGGGACAGGAGAAAAGAGCAGGCCCGTTTGGTACCTCCCAGTGCCCGCTTGCCTAGTAGCGGAGTTGGGCGCTGGAGGCTTTGGAGTTGCCAGAAGGTCAGTGGTGAGCGAGGACTCAGAGGTCACTCACGGCTGCCCGGGCCCTATGGTCTCACCGGTGGAAACCCCACTGGTGGTGGTGTTGGGTAGAGTTGTGTTCCTCTTAACTCCTACAGCACTGAAGAGGTGAAACAGGGCTGGCAGTGGTCGTGTTTGTTGGCTTTTGGGTTGACCTAAGAACATAGCAAGGATCGGCCTTCAGGTGACTGTCAGTACCGGGAGGCAGGGTTTTGTGATGTTCTATCAGTGAGGACTCCTGATGAGACCTGCAGGTCAAGTTTCTATTCAGCAGCTTCATTGCCATTTGGGATAGAATCCTCTTTGAAGGCATAGCTGGATACAGTATAAGTTAAGTAAATAAGAATTTTTAGATGTCATAYGAAATATTTACAATTGATGATACATGATAAAAGGTGTCTATATTTTCTGATGCATCTTACACAACTGGAGTGTGTTTGTTGCCTGAAATATTGCAAGTATAATTCTTAGTCTTTTCTGACTATTCCAGAAACATTTAAACATATTCCTTAACAGAGTTTGAAGATAAATGTCTTCAGTTCATTAAGAACAGTGAGAAGTGGGAGTGTCACTTTCTATCTCCATTAATTTCTCTGCTCTGTTATTTCATAGACATTTGTCTTTTCAGATATTCTCACTGTTTTATCACGTTAGTTCTCACAGGGAAGGGGAATGGATGAGGCTCGTTCTCTGCTCCCTGTAGAAGATCTCGAGCTGCTGTGTTACAGAATGATGTTTCTCCTGCCTGCTAGACAGTCACTCTGCTGAGTACAGTTTCTCTGTCATTACACCTACCCTTTCGTTTGACCACCACGCTTCAGGCCACAGTTGTGCGCACAGTTTTCTTCCAGTTTTCCTTTTTTTTTCCAGCCAGAAGACAACAGAGTTTGCTGAGTGTGATATTTTTCCTTGAGGCTTCCTGTCAGATAAAACTCCCCAAAGTTTCCTGCTACAGGGGGTACAAAAGCCTCTGTTCCAGTAGAATTTCCCTCTCTGGATTGTAGTTGTCTGGGGTTGAAATAGMTTTAGGAACACTTCTTTTTGGTTAAATTTAATAAGCAGGTACCCTATAAAAGCATGAGATTGTGTTTCTGGAACTGGAATGGTAGCATGAAAATGTATAGAACAAATTGCAAAAGCCACTGAATATAGAACACTATTAAACTTATTCTTCTGGTGTGTGTGGTTAATGTTATAATATTGAAGCCAAGCTGATTTGTACTGCTGACTAGGAACAGCAGATCCTGTAAAAGAACTGTTGAGGCCTGAAGGTAATGTGGAGTATTGTGCAGCTCTCTTGCATGTATCCTCTTCCCTTCCACCTGGAAGTGATTCAGGAAGATGGACTTCTGTTTTTCAGAAATGCTCATTTGTGGGCAGGTGGGTTGTTTTATTAATGACCCAGGGGAAAGAAAAAAAAAAAAAAAAACAATAATTTGTGTCTACTGATTTGTATCAGGACTGTGTTAGCTGTTGAATGTTAAGATGTCTTCAGACTTGCTGCACTACATAGAATAAGCAGAGTTGGGATGGGGAGTGGTTTTTCCAATGTTATTTTACAGGACAAAATTAGAAATGCATGGGACATGTATTTTATATTTCACAGGATCCTAGAATGGTTGAGGTTGGAAGGGACCTCTAGAGATCATCTAGTCCAGCCTCCCTACTCCAGCAGGGACACCCAGAGCACGGGACACAAGGCGGCATCCAGGCGGGTTGGGAAGATCYCCAGAGAAGGAGACTCCACAGCCTCCCTGGGCAGCCTGTGCCAGGGCTCTGGCACCCTCACAGGAGAGAAGTTCCTCTTCACATGGAGATGGAACTGCCTGGGTTTCAGCTTGTACCCATTGCCCGTTGTCCTGTCACTGACCACCACTGAGAAGAGTTTGGCCCCCTTTGTGTACAACACCTGTGCTTCTGTATATGATTTACTATAAATAGCCTGATTTTAGTTTAATGTTTCTGTATTACCCTTCATGGGAAAAAAATATCCCTYGATCCCTCCCTGAAATTGTTTTAATAATACACCTTCAATTAGATTTTTTTTTTCTTTTTGAACAGGTAATGGTTGTACATGAATTGCAAGCTGGTCTCTAGTGGGGTCTCTGTGGGAGGATGAACACGGAAGAGCTGGAGCTACTAAGTGATTCCAAATATAGAAACTATGTAGCAGCAGTTGACAAAGCTCTGAAGAACTTTGAATATTCCAGCGAATGGGCAGATTTAATATCAGCACTTGGGAAGCTAAACAAGGTAGGCATTATCAGGCTCTTTGGGAAAAAGTATCAGGAATTGGGCACATTGCATTTAAAGACTGGAGGACTCAAGTAATAATACAGAAAGGAAAGGTCCTAGCAGTCTAATATTACTGGGAAAGATATTAGCAGTTTGACCCAACAAATTGGAAACAAATGACCTAAAGACTTACAGTAGAACCTGTTGTAAACATAAGGGGTAAGTTTCTTTTAATTTTTAGTACAATTAAGGATTTTTTTTCCCTTTCCAGTTACTAACATTTACTTTTAATCTCCTTGCTTTAAATKATAATCATACTGAAATAGTATGGAAAGAAGGAATCAGTATAAATGTCAACAAACTGTTTTATATAAGGTGTGCTGTATAGAATGAAGCTGAAAATAACGATTGACCCCAAAATTTTAGCATTCTAATTTATATTACCAGTAAATATGTGAAATGTGTAATATCATTATGATCTTTAATAGCATTTTACAAATATAGGACCTGACATCCATAAAAATCCTCTTCTYTTCAGTTTTGGTTGGTTTTTGGGGGTGTCTCTAGTCAGGATCAGAATTTTATTTGCATACACACATCTCACCAGTATGAAGCTCTACAGAAACTGGCACAGAGAATGACAGACCTGGAGCACTTACATGCTGCCGTTTAAACTTTGTGGAAAATCAGCAGTGATAACATTATATAAATATTTATATATATATATATAAACTGCCAGATTCTTCTCTTCTCTTTACAGTATATTATATAAGGAAAAGGATTTATTATTCAGAAATGAAAACCTAAAGATGTAAATGCAATTCCGTGTTCCAGTTCCAAAGCAATTACGCAATTTCAGGCAGTTGTGAAGCTTTGCTTGCTGTCTTGCAGTTTCTTAAACTGCAGGCAATGTGTTATATTTGGGGTAACTTTAACCATTCTTTTTGAGCTACTGGTATTTTATTTTGGCAACTAGAGATAGTATTTTTGTTCTCGTAAACCACAGTATGGTCATGGCATGGAAGTACTAATAAAACAAAATGATGAGCCGTTAAGTGAGGAGCCCATTACAAAGGAGGTTTTTAAACACCTTGGCAAATACAGCTGTGTCAGGTGTGCAAGTGAAAGAGGTTGCAAACMAAAAGCTCCACAGTTCACTTTCAACCTTTTTGTCATGCTTTCTTTGTGCCTGTGCTGTAACTTAACCAACCATGCTTGGGAAGGCTCTTGTAAAATACACATTCAACATAGAGCTCGTTAGTGTTGCTTCCCTTCACGTATTGATTTTTATTTTGGTTTCCACCAGGTGCTGCAGAACAATGCAAAGTACCAGGTAGTGCCCAAAAAGCTGACGATAGGCAAGCGCCTGGCGCAATGCCTTCACCCCGCTCTGCCCGGTGGCGTTCATCGGAAGGCCCTGGAAACCTATGAGATCATCTTCAAAATCATCGGGCCCAAGCGTCTGGCAAAGGATCTTTTCCTATACAGGTACAAGGAGGTTAAGCAACTCCATTCCAAGTACATAACTGGGGTGCTTTTGGCTTTCTGCATTTTATTATTAATTACTAATTACTGCTTAGTTACACTGCAAGAATCAAGTGTTTTCTTTCCCTCGTGTTCCTGGCTCATGTGTAATACTCTGCATCTGAATGCTGGGTATCAAAAGATAGGCAGATCACCAAAACTTTTCTTAAAACAAATTCTTTATACTTCAGAAACCTGGAATTTATTATTTTCATTGAAATAAATAGTTTTGTGCATGTGTGCAYAGTAATTGCACTGCTAATGCTTATTTCAATATATTTGCATTATTTGTTATTGTTATTGTTATTATTATTTTTTATTATTACTTGTTATTATTTGTTTTTTCTGTTGTGATTTAAATGTTATTGGRAAAAAAGTGTGTCATTTATCTCAGATAACTTTATCTTCCACACAATCTAAGCAAAAAACTAAGAAGCTTAATTGTATGTCTGGCTGGAAAGTTGGATTACAACAGATTTTTTTTCATTGTCAGTCTTTGGAATTGATGGTCATGAAAAAGAAGGATAACCTGGAGAAGAAAGTGTAGTGAAATATTTTGATTCTTAAATTTCTGCTTAGGAGAGTGGGAGGGAAAGGGGAAGAGGTTTAGGTTATTATACAGGCATAGAAGAGGGGTTATATATACATTACTATATACAAATATGTACCCATGCATATTGCCCTTAATCTTTATGCTAACCTAGAGATTAAAGTCATCAATTTGAGGAATAGTGGAATAAAGCTAAATGCTGATTTAAGTAACTAAGGCACATACTGTATTAATACCTGGAAATAAGCTGTACCTTCAGCTATTCTGTCTTGCATTGGCAAAGCATTTGCAATTAAATCCTTGAGGTACTTCCTTTCAGTTCTGCTCTTTATCTTGAATATGCTCTAAAAGAGTCTGCAAACTCCGAGCTCGTGTCGTTCCCGGGGTTGCTGGTGCGGTTGCCGCAGCCCTGAGTATGAGCACAGGGAGAAAGGCTCCCATAAAAAACACTTTCATGTTACTGAAGGAGCTGCTGTACGTGCCCAGGAGAAGAGCAGGGTGTTCACGTAATGGCTTYAGCAACGATTCCAGGATTTTTGGTAAAGGCAGAATGAGCATTTCTAAACACCAAGCCTTGAAGGATGGGTGCTAGCACGCAGGGATAGTGTGTCAGTTGTCTAACAGAAGCCTTTTTTTCCTGAAAAACAGCTTGGCAGTAGCAACACGCTTTTTCTTTTATGCAGATAAAAACAAAAATAGGTTTTACAAATGCCGTTGTGCTATGAGAAGCTGTGTTTCTGTGACATGGATAACACCATATTAAAATAAGCTCTTTTTAAGATTTTAAGAAGTTTGTTCAAACATTTTTAATTTTGATGCATTTTCTCTGTGTATCAGAGTCTTCTAAGCAGAGTCCTCAGTGAAAAATATCTATTCACATCTTTCTGATTCTTAATGCTGTTTGTAATAATTTATGCTATTTAGCTGCAAAAGCAAAAATGTTCTTAATATCTAGGACCCCTTCAGCCTTCATTTACCTGGTCACATATGTCACTGTCGTGAACTTGCACTTAGTTTCACAGGAACCTCATACTCCTTCATTTTTTAATCTTTTAAATGGTCCGTCATAAGCAATAGGTTTATTGTTGTGTTGARAATATATTTCCTGGTAGAATTTCTGAAGCAAATAGACATTTTATTTGTATTAGTCAAAAAGCATAGTGGTGTGTGTCAGTGCAAAATTCTAGGATAAACTCTGCTAGTTATAACTATGCTGAATGTGCCTGTTACAGTTTTTAACGATATGATTGAAACTGTTTCACATGAGCAGCTTCCTTTAATTAAAAAAAAAAAAAAAGAGAGAGATATAAAGATATTCTTTTTTGTTCACAGTTCTGGCCTATTTCCACTCCTTGCAAATGCTGCTATGTCGGTCAAGCCAACGTTATTGAGCCTCTATGAGATTTATTATCTCCCACTGGGGAAAACACTGAAACCAGGTCTGCAAGGGCTGTTAACTGGGATACTGCCTGGTTTAGAGGAGGGATCAGAGTATTATGAAAGGTAAGGATAGATATGGCTATAAGTTAATATGACTGATTTTTTTGTTGCAACTTTTCATTACACACTTGTATGGATTACTTTTTTTTTAAAAAGGTATGTGAAATTCATCTAYGCATATAAATTGCAATTGAACATTGTAATGGAGGATTCCAGCATTAGTTATGATAAATTAACTATTAGTGTTTTCTAACATCCAAAGGAAATTGAAATCACTTAGAACAATTATTGCGTGTGTTATTGAGATATGTAACATGTTAGGAATGTTTCAGTGGGTGTCCCCTAAATGTGTGTTCTGATCTGAAATAGATGTATCGATTGAATTAAAGATACACAAACCAGAGTTCCACGATTAGTTTTTATACATTAAAGTATCTAAGCTATTATTAACCCATATATGAAAGAGCCATATAGCAGTAATCCACCGTCTGTATAGGTTAATAGAATATTTCTGGCAGTCTGGCATGGGAGGTAGCATCTCTACACATCCAGTAAGCCTAAGGTTGTCTGAGGTGCTGGGGTTGAATCTTGACACGCTGAAGAATGAAGTTAGGATCTGTCTGCAACAAAAGTTGCAAGGGCAAGTGCCCATTCTGTAATTTGTAAGGTTCTGGGGAGAAGGATCATTGGCTGCATTGCTCCCTGGATCGTTGCTGTTTTTGTCGTGCAGAACAAACACGCTGCTGGAGAAGGTGGCCGCCGCTGTGGACCAGTCTGCCTTCTACAGCGCCCTGTGGGGCAGCCTCCTCACCAGCCCCGCGGTTCGGCTGCCTGGCATCACTTACGTCCTCTCCCACTTGAACAGGAAGCTCTCCATGGAAGATCAGCTCTATATAATTGGCAGTGACATTGAATTGATGGTAATGTCTGATTCAAACAATGAAGATACGGTGTAATTATGTAATTACAAAGGTTCCTGCGACTGTTAGATGTTTTCCATATCTACGAACGTGGCCTTTGAAGAAGTAGAAATAGAGCTCCAGATAAACTGTTGTCTCTGCATGATGAATGTGTTGCAGAGCTCTGTTAACGKTTCATAACTGCTTGGGTTTTGAGTAAAATTGGCTCTCCATTTAACACATTTAGTAAAAATGATTGAGGTTTGTTGTACTTTCTGAAAAATATGTAGTGAATTCTTTTATCTTTTAAATATATCCATTYGTGTTATGAAGAGGTACAAATATATTCTTGCATAGCTCAAGGTAATTGCATTTTTTTTTTACTGATGAAATAATGAAATAAAACAAGAAAATACAATATTATTTAAAATCTTGAATTGACTTGGACTTTCTATACCTCACTGTGTCTGTAAGCAAATGTTCTTATTTTGTGTGCATTTAAGTTATATCTACGAACTCAATACAGCAGATCCTTCTGTGCTTTCTCTTACTTCAGGTGGAAGCAGTAAGCACATCCGTGCAGGATTCCAGTGTGTTAGTTCAGAGGAGCACTTTGGATCTTATCCTTTTTTGTTTTCCTTTCCACATGAGTCAGGTAGGTTATTGAWGTATAAGAATTAATTTAAACACTCCTTAATGTATTCCATTTCTTAGTAACARTATTTAGTTAATCTTTGTTCATAGTTTGCTCCAGGTTTGAATAAAGCCTTCTGTAATAGTTTCTCTCATAGATCTGGCAATTCTCATCTCATGACCTTTGCCCATTTGCTTTTATCTTGATATTTCTATATACATAAACATAATATAAAATATGACATGTAGCTATATGTAAGCTTTTAATTTGCTCTGATTTGATTAGAAAACAAATAATTACTTCATGTGCAAATTCCCACTTCAAAGAGCAGAGAAAGTCAATTGATTTAGCAGAGCATAAATGATTCAGAATATTAGAAAATTTTAAATGATTAGTGATTTGGAATGATTAGTCATCCCCAATCATAGAGGAAGACAGGTCTACAGTTTCTAGATCAATTTCCTGGATTGCATTTGCTGCTGATCATTTTCTGTTGTAAAATGATCCCTGAGTTGTTCTATTCCTGGAGGAAAATTATATACATAGAACTTATTCTAACCATTGTTAAAGATTATGGGAAAAACCTGCTTTTGCCTGTGGGATGGTTTGTTCACATCTAGTGGTAAATATGGGATTATTAGAAATATTTCTGTTTAGGAGTTAAAATGATGAAATTTATTGATGCAACTTTTTTGGGAGGTGGTATTAACACATAACACTTAAAACAATAACCCATTTTAAGTTTATTCATCTCTTTTTCTTTTAACTGTGTTTTAGTTGAATTTCTTGCACATCTGCCTCTTAAGCAAAATGAAGTAATTTCTAATAAAAATGAACTGTTAAATGATTTAGACATCTTGGTAGTTTATAAAGAGTATGCCCCATTACAATGTCGGTTTTGAGTAATAAATGTATTCCAGTTTCCTGAGAGCAAGACGTGCTCTTGAGCTATTCTGAACTGGGAAATGCTGAAACATTAAATTAACTGCTTTTTCTAGTGTCCCTTGAGCTGGAAGCATCAAGTAAGAATTATTTTTCATAGTTAATTTAAGTAATGTCCCTAATTTCTTCAGGCAACACGTCCAGACATGATCAGAATTTTGTCAGCAGCCCTCCATGTAGTACTGCGCAGAGATATGTCACTCAACCGAAGGCTTTATGCTTGGCTTCTAGGTAGGTTTGTGCTGCAGTTGATGGTTGTCTGAAAGTGGAGGAAGGCTCTTGTGTTCATAATATGATGAAGGATTCTTGGAAAAATGAAATGCTTGGGGTTTTTTTGTTTGTTTGTTTGTTTTGTTTTCTCGTCATAAGGAAGAAGCCTGTCTCTTTCTCTGTCTCTGTACATAACCAATTGCAAGTGCTGTGCTAGAACCCCTTCCTGTTACATAAACTATCTGTACATTTTTCAATAGCAGCAAGTGTGGGCCACAGTCAGGGGGCAGCCTGCTCCACAAGGCCTGCACAAGCAGTCATTCAAAGGCAACCTTTAAAGTCATTCAAAGGCAACCCTTCTCTCTCTAGAAACTTTAAAAGAAAAATAAAGAGAAAAGGTGTTACAGAGTTCAAGTGTCATTTTTGGACATAATGGTATAGAAAAGATGAAAATAAAGCACTGTATTGAAGTACGTTGTATATATTATATTGATGCAGGTTTGATTATGCAAGCCTTAACTTTAAGTTTCAGTAAATGTTTTAGAAGTAAAAATAAAATAATCATTTAGTCTTTTATATTCAAACATTCTCTGCTCAGAAAAGAATAGTAGAGAATAAAAGCTACCCAGAAGATTCTGCATAGAGGATATGAGAAGTTGAGAATAATTACTCTTATTCAACACTTCTAAGCAAAGAAGATCTATGATCATATCCAGCTGTTCTTTTACTCTTCCAAGTAACTTCCAGACAGGTCTAAGAGAGAAGCCAGAATCTCCATCATGGGAGTCCCTTGCAGTGTTACAAAACCACAAAGGGTTTCTGTACCTGAGGGGAAGACTGGTTTAAGCTCAATTTTAATCTGTTTTGTCTGGCCTCGCAGCTCACCAGCAATACACACGTGTCTCGAGGCYCCCCAAAGCCCTCTCAGCCAGTGCTGCATCGTGCTCAGCTGCTGGATGAGGCATGAGGGAGTAGGATCTGTGAGGGATGGGGGAGAGGGAGTGAGGAAGTGGAGGATGTGAGAGAATGGAAAGAACCAAGGGAGTCAGCAATAGCATTTGGGATGAGGGGATAGGARTTGTTGCTGTAGAAGCTGCAAGAATTTGATGGATAAATATGGGAGAAAAGAGAGAGAAAAAAAAAAAAAAAGCCAGGCTTGTTTAGTTTTGCTCTTGGAATTATGTGGGATTTTTTTTTAATGCTGCACAGTTAACTCTCATTATTTCTTGCCAAATGAATACAATTCATAAAACAACCAGGAATACCAACTTCAGCTCAAATGAGTTCCTTTATCACTGCTCAAGCATTGAATTGCAAATTACTTGCATTTTAAAGAAAAGCAATACCATACACTGTCATGTTGCTTACCTACATTTTCCAAATTAAGGCTATAATGTTTGGATTAAACACTACACTAAGAKTTCATCTCAGTATCTTTGAGGAGTTAGATATATCTTTTGCTGCCATTGAAACGGATGTTTTATGGGATTAAAATATCACGCGGCTTTCTTTAATTGCAGAATCTTCTTTTACAGCCCTTTTATGAGCATAGACTCCACTTAAAGATAATGGAATTTCAGGAATTGGTTTCACAATGATGAATCTTGGTCCTGTTCTGTGAACAGCTAATGCCTCTGTTTTCTCTTGAATAGGTCAGACTTTCTGGAGATATATATAGATGTGTGTATATATATATATATTTATATATATGCATATATGTGTGTGTGTGTGTGTATATATATAAAAAAGGATGTATATGTATGTGTGCATATATCTGCTACTTTTACTTTACAGTGATATTCTACTCAGAATGTAAAACATGGGAGAGTTGGTTATATTGCATGATTGAAATCTGATTTTGTGCACAATATTACTTAATTCTGGTGTTAACTGTTCTTATCATTTTATAGTTGGAAACAGTCTTACTAACCTTCTGTTAAAAAAATCACCTTGCATCTCTTTTAAATACAAGTTAGCTTTTAACTGTTGCTTCCAATAATTGCTTTAAGCTGCAGCTGAATGGTGTGCATCTTCTCCAGCTTTCCCTCTGTTTTTGTTACTTCAGGACAGAAACTGTGGAAAACACTTCTGTCAAACTCTAATAGTGTGACTAGCCTCTTACTTTTCTATGCTTTTCTACAGTAARAAAAAATATTGCTGAAAGAAAAATACAATTGAAATGAACATCTGTCTTCATGTAATTTTGAATACTAAACGTACTTTTTGTGGAATATAAATGCTAAGTGACTGATAATGCTGTTGAAGTGTCTTACGTTAGTAGTGTCAGTGTTTTGTTTTGTAATCATCTGTTTACTTTTGAAATACTCAACTTTATATTCTCATTTATATAGAAATAATGATATTGAAATATTTTTATGGAACATATTTTTGGTAGATACTCTAGGACTGTGTAGCTCATACTTTGTTTTTCAAGACTTGTTTCTCTGCATCAAAAACAACCCTGGTTAGTAGTGTTGCATAACAGTTAAACTGTCTAATTCTGTGTGCAAAATGCTTAAATGAAAATGCTATCAGTTAGTTTCCYATATTAAACTCTATAAAATCATCTTTCTCTTGCCAACATTACATGGACTTCAACTTGGTAAGTTACCAGTGCTAGTGTGTTGCTTTGTAGTTTAAAGAAATTGGCAAACAGCTCTGTTGAGAGAGGAGTATTCAGATGCCTTGTCTTTTGTTTGCTTGAAGGCTTTGATAACAATGGTGCCCTTATAGGACCTAGAAGTACAAGGCACAGCAATCCCGAGGAACACGCCACCTACTATTTCAACACGTTTTCTAAGGAAATGCTAGTCCAGGTAACTCCACAGTACTTTATTCAAGCATAGATCCTCATAAATAATGTTGATCAAAGTAGCTGTTTCTTTATCCTTTAATTTGCTATTTCAATGTGACTGCATAATTTCTATTTTTCTGTGGKATTTGTCTCACTGTTCCAACACTTTCTCAATAAAAAACACGTGAGAGATGTAGGATGATGGGTTTCTTCAAAAATATAGTATAGCCAGGACAAATATTAGACTTCTCTCTCTCCTTTTCCACAGTGAATGTAGCATGTATGGAGATAAATGTTTATGAGCCCAGCACACTGATCTGTCATTTTGCAAAAGCAGAGTTGGAGAGGAGAGGCTTTCTTCTATTTCCTTCTGTAAATRTGGAAAACTCTCCTATGTTTTGGGAAGGGGGAAAAAAAAAAAAAAAAGATGAGCTAGTCTCCACCCAGAACCTTTCAATAAGAAAGGTCTTCCTCAGCTCTGGGCAGGGGGAAGGTTTTCTGTTTCCCATTGGCTGGTGCATCAAGGACTTTCTTGACATTCTCACGCTTTTCTTATCACTGTTCTGCCTCCTGCATGGCAGCAGGTTCAGACATTGCCTAAGCCTGGGGACTTGAACGAGATACAGCTTCACATACACCTTCTGTACGAGAGATCGTGAGCTTTTAGCCTCCTCTAGGCCTTTGTTATTAACCTGTGCTCCTGCTTTCTTTCTGGGGATTTTAATACAACTAGAGTCTTTCTGTATGATAGTCCTTTAATAGTGAAGAGGTGATCTCCCCTATTTGCTTTTTGGCAGCCACCTCTACTGCTACAGTAGAACAGAGAGCAACCGTTTTTAACAGAAGGGGGATAATTTTGTTATTCTTTGTTTTAAAATATTAAAAGGGCATTACAAGCTTTGGCCTGCTCTGCTGCACATTACTATGTGCTTTCTAAAGCTGTCTGCTGTCTTTTGAAAGACTGCAAAGATAGTGCCTCTTTCTGCTTTTCTTTTTCTCTAGCTGTCTCCTTTTATGTGTTATTTTCTTCTCCTTTATCTTATTATGTACTGAAAATTCTCTGCTTCCAAAGGCACATTCAAGTGTAGAAGGTGTTTCTCTCAGGATACTGACTGACAGACTACCCTCTTTGTAGCAGATAACAAGGTCAAACTTGTTTTCCTGCCTCATTCTCCCTGTCTCTTCTCCTTTTTTTTTGTCCTGTTCATTTTGGAAGCAGTAAAATAAATGAACTAGCTTCACTTAGTGATGCAATCTGCAGACACAAAACTAATCTGTAACAGTTCAGGGTTTTTCTTTTCTTTTTTTCTTTTTTCTTTTTTAATTCTGCAGCTAGTTCTGCATACTGCTTCAGTGTAGGAACTCAGTTTGCCAATTTGTTTTAGGAAGGTATATCCTGCAGGGACAGATTATTGTTTACTTAGCTCTTTAGTTCTGCATCTTACCTTCTTAGGCAATATCTTCATCATTGATAATGTCTTTTTTAATTCTCATTTTTTTTTTCATTTTGAATCCATTTGCAGTATGTTATTGCGCTTTCCCTACTTCCCTATATATGTTTATATATACTTCCCTATATATGTTTATATATGTATTCCCTCCTCTGCCAAGAATATACCCTTTATATGCTGCTTTTTTCAAAAACTGTTTTTTTTTCTTAGTTTTCCTGATATGCTTTTGCTCTTTTTAGGCAATGGTTGGAATATTACAAGTTAATGGACATGGAGAAGAAAGCACATTAATGCAAGACTTAAAACCTTTTCGAATTCTTATAAGTTTGCTGGATAAGCCTGAACTAGGTATTTTTTTTATATTACTTTTTTGAGTCTTGACTTCATTTTGCATAATTCTGTTGACAGAATTTTTCTCTCTTATTGCACAAATTGAAAAAGCTGTGTTCTTAATGCCAGTCTTAGTATTGTCAGGTAAGCTGGATTTCTAGATCTTCCAAGCTAAGGTTTTAGCACTGTCTTTAACTTTTCCTTATCCAACTTCTCCCTTCAACAGAGTCAGTCTGAAATAATCAGGAGTCATTGGAGGAAGTACCTGCATCGTGAAAGCAATTCTATTTGGATCTTTCCCACTTCTTTAATGRAGCAGTGGCTTTAACTGTTGCAAATTTCAGCCATTGCTTTTGGGAAGAGTTTGTTCATTAATCAAATATGCACATAGAAATAAGAAATATTAACAACAGAATAGTTGCTTTTTTTAGAAGATCTTTTTGTTAACAAAGCATCTCTTTGTTTTGATTTTTTCTTATTTTCTTTGCCCCCTTTTAAAGTGTTTAGCTTAAATAAGCACAAAGGACTGTGAGGCAAAAGTAGATAGTTAAAAAATATTAGCTACATGTCTTRCCTTTTTCGTTGGAATAACACAGCTTTGGGAGTAGTGGAAATAGCAAAATCATTTCCCAAGTCTGTCCCAAGGCTCGGGGGCACAAAAACAACAGCATAAAAAACCCCAAGAGTTCTAAAAGTTAAATTTGGGAAGTAAGTGATTTGCAAAGTGCAGTGCAAAGAACAAAATACTTGACAAGAAGTTGACTTCCTCCTAATAATATGTAATTTTTGGGGGGGTCACATTTTCATTCTCAGTATTCAAATCAAGATCTCATGAAACAAGTAGAGCTTTGAGGATTCTTCTGGAAAATTCAGATGGAGTAACGTAATAGGAATTCTGCTTAAGCCAACAACAGCACTCCAACTGAAGGCAATCCTACAAGGATAGGAGAAAGCACCAGGAAGAGAAAGATGTTTTAAACACAATCACTTTGAGCTCATTTAGCAACAAGCCTTTTCACTTAAAATTTAGGATTTTGCTCAAATTTGAAGGGAACATTATTTAAAGGAGTATACTGCAGGGTCTGTCCAGAACTAAAGATAATTCACCTCAGTTTAATGAGAATGTAGATGCTCAAAATATTTTACGCTGTATTTTTTTTTCATTTAAATATATGAGTAAATTTTCTGAATGATAACATCACGAGCCAGCTTTTATGATGGGATATTTGAAGCTGGCTGGTTGAAAATTTCCTTTCATTAGGAAACCATGTAGTCGTATTTAAGAATACGACTTGAAGAAGAAGAAGCTTATGCCCCAGATACTGCAATTACCTGTGTATTTTTGGAGTGCAAAAGGCTTCTGAAGTAAAGATAGTTTATGAAGTTGCACAAATGGAATTTTATGGTTTCAATAACCAAGTTAATGATTTAGTTTGTTCGCAGATGTGGGCTGCTGCAGGGCCATAACACATAAGATTGTTGTTGCTGGTGTTTCTCCTTAGGGCCYGCCATCCTAGAGGATGTGTTGATTGAAGTGTTTCGAACGTTATACACACAGTGCAAAGCAGAACTGGAGCTGCAGGCAGAACCTTCTTTCAACAAAGACCACACACAGCTAAGCAGGTGGATAATGAGTATAATGTGTTTTATTTAAAAAAGAAGAGTAGCAGAAAGCATACCGTATTTAAGGCACAACTGTGTAGCCTGTGGGACTGTGACCATGATTTTCAGTGATGCAGGTTCCATTGATGTTAATTGCAACTATGCATTTGATACAAAGATATAAAGGGCTATATCTTTTTCGGAGCTTTAGCATACATTTTACCCTTTCCTCACGGCAGAAATGTTCTCTTGGTACAGCTGCAGGTCTGTATCTCAGTGTTATAGATCAGCTTTAGCATTTTGGATATTTCTGTTCTTTAATGAAATTAAAAAAAAGGTAGGAGAAGGAACTTAGCAGTACGGACTGATGAGCTTTCCGGTAGAGTAGAATTGAGGAGTGCTACAGGACAGCCAGATAAAGGATTAAAGACTGTTAAAGATTTGTGCTGAGAATCCTAAAAGCAGGGAGAATAAGGAAGTGCAAAGGGAGGAAAAATAATAAATATAAGATTAGTCATGAGAAAACAGCTCTAGGAAAAACATGTGGTAAAAAAGGACAAACAGTAAAGGGAGGATAGGTAGGAAACGTGGCAAGAAACCTGGCAACTATTCAGACATTGATGTGAGGAACCCGCCAGTTTGCTGAGCAATAGGGCAGCAGCTACCAAAGAGATGAGGGGGAGATGGTTCATCAGCATCAAATAGCTGGGGGGAAGCTCAGAATGATGTGTAGTTGCATAAATCAGAAACAAAGTGTAATAGAAGTCTTCTTTTTATTTTCTTTTAGCAAACTGAGAGAAAATAAGAGAACAGCAGAACTGATTAAAACTGCCAATCTTCTCTTTAATTCTTTTGAGCCTTATTATATGTGGGATTACATTGCTCGTTGGTTTGAAGAATGTTGCAGGTGGGTTTTAATACTTAATTACTGCATATGTRTAAATTGAAGTTAGCTTTTCTGTTATAAGCTTCTTGTTAAAAAATAAATTAGTTTGATGTGATCATTCTAGCTGTAAGTCTTCAAGGTTCTCATCCCTTTATTTTGACCCCTTGGTTATTATTATCAATCAAGTATGATTCGTGCTCTTAGCAGCCTGTGTTCTCATAAAATCAGCGTGTGGGTGAACACAAGAGGCACAAGTTAGTGCCCCTGCTTAGGTGAAGACTCAGAGTGGCCTCAGAGCTTGTTTGTCTGGTTTTCTTTGCYCCATCTGTGATGACTCCTGTGTACCTGTCCAGGCTGGCATCTTCTCCAAGAGTGAGGTGTGGGGTATGTTTTATCTTGCCATGCTGGTTTGAGGAAGAAGTTTGGGAGGCCATGACAAAAAAAAGAGTTAAGGGAGGGAATGTAGTCAGTAAGGGAGAACTAGAAACATTAAAGGGGGGAAGATGAGCACCACGAGAGCAGAGCTTGATGTAGTGCCAGTGGACAGATGATGCGGGAATTTCAAAACAAATTTGTAGAAAATGATGCTTTGTCATTGCTTAAGGAACAGCTTAGTAATATATTAGGATATTTAGACTGCCTATGAATCAACACTATGCTGTACATAAGGCAAATAAGGCAAATTTAGGCATAAAGAAGGCAAATAAGGCATAAATAAGGCAAACGGTATCCTGAGCTACATCAGAGGGAAGGTGGGTCACAGGTAAAGTTATTTTTCCCCTTCTCTTGGTCATGTTAAGGCGGTTTGTGGAATATACTGTCCAGCTTTGGGCATCTCAGTTGAGGAAGAGTGTTGAGTCCTCTGGTAAAGGATAGCAGAAGCCTAAGACCTGCCAGGACCATTTGAGGGATCTGGGCTTGTTTTGGTCTGACAAAAGACCAAAAAAGGCCAGACARAAGTCAAGCAGGGGAAGGACTTCTGTAGCACTCTGTGGTTTCTTGAAGGTGTTCACAAAGGTCATGGCAGAGCAAGGGGCAGCACTGAGCCCTTCAGGAGATCCAGGCCRGATTCCTAGAAGAGCTTTGCTGGCAGGACAGTACGGCCCTGGAGCAGGTTACCCAGGAGGGCTGTGCAACCTGCTTTGTAGCTTCCAGCACTCCGCTAGACAAAACTGCAGCTCACCTTATCTGCTGTTGTTCATGGTCCTGCTTGGCATGGGAAGCTAGCATAGAGGAACAGCCTTCCAACACTTCTATTATCTGTTTAACTTTCGTGTTTTGAACCAATTCTGAATTCCTAAAATGAAGTAAATAGTCTGCTGCTAGCTAATGAAGAAGAGAGAATTTGTCCATAAATAATTCAATGTATACCTGTATACTTGTCTACCTTATTATTAATGATTCTAATGGATAGATTCTGGAATCTGAGACTATCTGTATAAGTTACTGTGCTATAGAAGTTGTTTTGTTTTCTTGTTGAATAGAATATGCTATTAAGTGAAAACATATACCATCAATTTTAAACTCTGAATTTATAAGTTATCTTTATGGCATCTAATATGAATGTGAAGTAATAGTTGTCAYTTCCCACAACAGTCTTAGGCTTTTTCACATACATTTTCCCTACTAAAAAGGAATAAATAAAAAAAAGGAATTTCTTTTACCTAAATATGAACTAAGTCACTGCAGCTGAGCCTTCTCCCAARATTATCTTTGATGAAGAGCTCAGCAAGTTTAATTTAAGTCTTCCTTTGCAAGGTATAACAGCTGAACAAATGTATGAGTAATTTATGAAATAGATCTCTCTGAGGAGCAGCACAGAATTCTGAAAAGATTTCAAGTGTTACATAATTTACACCAATGGCCCATTTCACTGAACTATAAAGGAGGCTACTGGTTTTAGGAGGAAATGTGTCTGCTCTTATCTATTCTTAGAAGGGTACAGCAATTTAGTGGGGGTATAAGTCTAATGCCATTTTTTTCCTTTTATTTAGATTCATAACCAGATACAGTTTTTATTATTATTATTATTATTATTATTATTTATTTATTTATTTATTTATTTTTCTTCCTTCCCTTCATTGTCTTCCATCTTATAAGCAGTACAAACAGTCTTGCTGTCACTGTTTCAGGCTTTGTTTTTGCATTGCTTCTGCTATTTCAAATAAACTTTTTTTTCAGTCAGGAAAGAGTATGTTTATGAGCTCTTCCAAAACACTGTGAAAAGATCAGCATAATTAACTGTTGCTGACCAGCACCTTCCCTCCTCCCAGATGTGACCAGCACCTTCCCTCCTCCATCCACATATGCAAAATGAGTGAATTGGATAGATAAAAATATTCTGTATTCATATTTTTTTTTTTGTTTCCAAAGCCTCCAGATAACAGCATGTTTTCACACTGTGTTGGCATTCCTTGGAACTCTGCACAGCAGTATAATTCCTCAGATTCTTGTCAGTAATAAAACAATGTAGTCCATTGATGCTGAAGAGGACAGAGCTTGTTTTGTTTCCAGCTTGCACAACTTCAGAGCTTCACGAGCCTTTTAATTTCCATTCTTTCAAGTGCTTAATGCCTTGGAGTTTGATTTCTTCCAAATGACCATGCTTCCAGGAAAATTATCCYTGCCTGCTATTATTGGTGCCTATGCTAGGGATAGCAGATATATGATGGAGTCACAAGCTCAATTTYCTGTGGCCTGATTTTGCTAATTTAATGAGTGAATGTTGTGTACAGCAAAAGCGTTGCCGACAACATGCTTTCAGAAAGAGGAGCAATAGGGCCAAGTAAAATACTTTCAAAGGAGAGACAATTCATTTGTGTATAAGGAAAATGTGTAGCTTTACATTAGCTTAGAGAAACACAGTGAGTTTAATAAACCCAACCAAACAAAACGTTGATTTGTGAAACCCTGTTTGGTTGTTGCAGGAGGACGTTACATGCCAGACTTCGGACTGGGCCTGGAGGTGGTAATGAGCAATCTGAGTTACCCCTGACAAATTTCTGCTTGCTAGTGGATTTTTTGTTGGATATAGTGTCTTTGGTAAGAATTTCTTTGTTGCTAATACTAGGATCCCATATATTGATAGTCTAGAGAAACACCCTATCTACTTTRTTAAATCTTGTTCTCAAAAAGATACTGCCATAAATTGATAAAGTGGTTGGGTATAAACAGAAATGTTTTTATGATACATTTATCTGAAATCTTGTTTGTCCTCATTGTGTTTTCTCCTCTGAAACATGTATTGTTTTACCCAGGATAAGCTTTTGTAGTTCTGTGGTCTAGTTTAGATGTGCCACTTTGTTTTAAGGCTAACTCTTTTAAACGTCACGATATGATGCATCTTCTTTGTTGRCATTGCTTAATATAGCAAAGACTGTTGGGACTGTTTTTTCTATACCTTTCCTCAATTCTTTGCTTTCTCATTTTAAAGCCTACTAGAAGTATGAGAGTGCTGTGTCAGGTATGGCAATCAGCCTGTTTTCCCTTTAGTTTTTAATATTTTTTGTATTATTCATTCTTAAGCTTGTATGTTACAATTATTTTAGTAATACTGGAGTAGCAGTCTTTTGTCTTATTGTTGCATTTTGTAATGTGTTTATAGTGTAAAGAACAACACTTTAAATTCTAGAGGAAGCTAGATAYACTTACATTTGTTGATTACCCAGTGAAAAAATTTCTCTTAACTATAAAGTTAGTTCCATAAAATTTTGGAAGTAAAGCATGCAGTTCTTATTCTCAGATGTTTGGATTATTTTTTCTTTTTCCATTTTTCAGATATTTAGAATACAGTTAGAGAAATGATGCATAATACTTTTAGGATGGAATTGGTACAATAATTCATGAACTTTTCTATTTCTTTATTAGGAAACTTATATTGAAATACAAACAGAACATTTGCCTCAGCTGTTGCTCAGAATGATTTCTGCGTTGACAAGTCATCTTCATACGTTGCACTTGTCTGAGCTCACTGATTCTCTCAGACTCTGCTCGAAGATCCTGAGCAAGGTTCAACCTCCCCTGCTGTCTGCGGGTACAGACGGCGTCCTGCAGCTCCCTAGTGGACACAGCAGCTCCATCAAAGAATGGGAAAATAAAAAGGTAACTGGTTGTTGTGTCTTGCAGCATCTTGGAAAAATACATTTTGTGTGTATGTGTTCCCCCCCCCCCTTTGGGAAGGAAAAAAAAGTTATAAGGCTATAAGGATACTAATCATAAAATCATCAGAGAATCATAGAATGCTTAAGGTTGGAAGGGACCCCTAGAATGCTTAAGGTTGGAAGGGACCCCTAGAGCTCACGCAGGGTCACCTAAAGCACGTGACACAGGGCTGCGGGTTTTAAAGATCTCCGAAGAAGGATATTCCACAAGCTCTCTGGGCAGCCTATTCCAGAGTTCTGTCACCCTCACTGTCAGGAAATTTTTCCTTAAGTTCCTGTAGAGCTTCCAATGCTTCAGTCTGTGGCCATTTCCTCTAGTCCTGTCGCTGGCCACCACTGAAAAGAGGCCGCCCCCTCCTCCTCCCTCCCTCCCTTGAGGTATTTATAGACACTGATCAGGTCCCCCCTCAGCCTCCTCTTCTCCAGGCTGAACAGGCCCAGCTCCCTCAGCCTTTGCTCATAGGGCAGATGTTCCAGGCCCCTGATCATCCTCATAGCCCTGTGCTGGACTCTCTCCMGTAGCCTCACATCCCTTTCTGATGGAAGACTCCTTGATGAAGCCAAGGTGGTTCCATAGACGGGATCTCATTCARTTGCCTCAACACAGAAAGAGGGCTGGTCAGACCCAGTTTGTGTTTGGTAGATCTGTATGGTCTGTTGTCAGTCGCTTTCAAGTCCCTTGTGTTTCTGCACATGGCTTCCAGAAAGGTTTGCTCCGTAGATTTCCTGGGGACTGAAATGAGGTTGACTGGCCTGCATTTCCTAGATTGGGAGACTGCCCTGCATTTCCTAGATGGGGAATAAAAATTTAGAACTTCTTTTGCTTTCAAGCTGACAAGAAAATAAGTAATTTCTTTCAAGTACCTAAATACCCATCTTAGAGACTCCCTAAAAACCTTTATTTCAATTAGGTGCCCTCAATTTCGCTTGACAATCCCAATGATGTGTTTGAGGATGGTGAAAATCCTCCCAGCAGCCGGTCTTCAGAAAGCGGCTTCACGGAGTTCGTGCAGTACCAGGCGGACACCACGGAGGACATCGACCGAGCGCTGAGCGAAGGCCCCGGCGCCGCCGGCATCCCCGTCGTGGGCAGCACGTCCTCGGAGACCGAGACCGCGTCCACCGTGGGATCCGAGGAGACCATCGTGCAGCTTCCCGCCCTCGTGACACAGGGGACGGCGGCGCGGAGCGGGAAGACGATCCAAAAGACTGCAATGCAGTGCTGCTTGGAGTACGTCCAGCAGTTCCTCACCAGGTTCATCAACCTGTATATCATTCAAAGTAATACCTTGTCTCAGCCTTTAGGGACCGAGCTTCCCGTAGACCCCACCAGAGAGCAAGTGCAGACTGCAAAGTGGGAAAGGGAGTCACAAGGAGATGCTAAGGTGAAGAAGACGAACAAGAAGAAAACACCAAAAGAATACCTGCCTGCCTTTATTGCTGCCTGCCAGCTCTATCTTGAATGTTCCAGTTTTCCCGTTTACATTGCGGAGGGAAATCGTACTTCAGAATTACATGCTGGGAAACCTGAAGTTGGTGAGTGTTGCTCTTCCTTTTAAAATAAATATATATACTTTAACATTTAAAGTGACAGTAGTCATGCTTTTAAGTACTGTTATTTGGCATTCCTCTCAAATATGTGTTTCCTTCTGTGTTAATTGGGTTATTTTTTTGGACTAAACTATTTCATAATAGAATTTAGGAACGTTTTGTGTCAAATTTGATGCTAGACAAATATTAATTACATGAGCTGAAGTCTGAGAGTAGAATAAAGGTTTTTCAGGTGTTCCTTGTCATATGGATACAGGAATGTTCTCTTAATAGCACTTTTCCTATACCAGAAAAGGCTTTGCTATAATGCATAGTGATCACAAGCTGACATCAAATGTGGTTTTAGCTTCATTTTAGTAGCCTTGGACTGCTTTGCATATTTATTACTTTGTGGAATATGTGGAAGTTCTGCTATTGAATGGAATTCACAGCAGCTAAGAACTTAGTTTTATTTTGCTTCTATTACAAGTGAAAAGTAATAGTTTCCTTAGGTAATTGTTTCCTTAAGAAACAAGTGATACTACCAAATCTTCTGGCCATGAGTGCACCAGAAAATAGAAGGGAAAATGGGGATTTTGTGTAGTGTGTGTGTGTGTGTGTGTGTGTGTGTGTGTGTGTGTGTTCTTAGGTAAGTGTCCTATTTCCAGGGCCATTTCTGGTCAATGGCTTGGGAGTTGTTGCCTTAAAATAGGAGGAGATACTAGATGCATGCAAGAAACTGTAATTACAATAATTTTGGCAATTTATTACAATAATTGCAGAATCTCCTGTGGCTTTCTTTTTCTGGGAAACTTGGAAATTGTTCTCATCCATGGCTTTCCAAATGGCATAGGCGCTGCTTGGAGGGGGGATAGATTTCTGGCATTCAGGAACAGACCCATTGGTTTAACAGATGACTGCTGCTCCTGTCCCCACAATATTTTAGATATATTATGTATGTCTGCATCACACAGTCAGGAGTGGAGCGTCTTTGACTTTGAGATCCAGACATGCCAAATATTTATATGCCAGTTAAAGGCAGCTTGCTGGTGGCTTTGTGTTAACTAAGGGCATTGCTTTTTTCCTGCATTCTGTTAACCTTTTCCTTGGGCTTGCTATGGGACTTTGTGAAAGTTGCATAATCTCTGACCTTCACATTCCCACTTACAGAATAGACATGCTACCTTTCATAAAAGCATAGGCCATTTCTGCTCTTTCTGTGATAAGACCCTGAAAAATGTAATGTTTTCAAACACAAGGAACCACAAATAGGAGAGTCGTGGTTGATAATAGAGAAGTTTAAAAAAAAAAAAAAAAGCCAAAATCAGCTGTTTGCTTGTTATTTTCAGTGGCTTTAACTGTTAGCATTGCCGCCCATGGAAGCAGGAGGCTTGTGGAGCTCGAGCTGCCTCACAGGAAGGCGGGTGGGCCCGGGAATCCCCTTGGCTTTTCCAGCCGCCTGGGGTTCTTGTTGCTCAAGCAGCACCCACAGCTCTTTGTTTGCTCTGTGCAAGAGCAGCCCTTTGRACGGGCAGTAGCAGAAAGGGGTTTTTAAGGCAACAACTCTCAGGGAGCAGAAGAGGGTGGAGAAGAGCCGGGAGGCTCCCGTGTCAGGCAGCATGGCTAGCGTGTGGAACAGCCTCGCGACGGGAGCGGGTCGTGCTCAGGAGAGTGTTCATATCTGTAAACTTTGGGACTCATAATSAGAATTGTTTTGCACGTGTTTAAATTATGAGTTATACTGCAAAATTCTTGTGTATGCAAATTTGAAATTGCACCTTCTTTTTGGTTCTAAAAAGATGCTCAATTTATGCCTATGAAGTAACACTTTCATGCCTGTCTCATTATGGAATCATTTACTCTTTTACTAATGCAATCCACAATGCTTTAAGAAAAGTTAATCCGGTGATGCTGAGATAAAAGGGTGCATTGAGTATGTGGTGCACAAAGGAGGATTTGACTGTCAACTGCAGAGAGAACAGCCTGCCTTGCCAGCCCACATGCAGTGACTGCAAGAGGAGGGAAGAAAGACCCTGCAGCGAAAGCAGAACGTTAACTCCTAGGGGCAATTTTCTCACCARTGCCAGCAATTGCTGCAGATACTTTTATTTGTCATGTGCTTCCATTGAAACAAATATATTCTGTGTCCTTTTACATTTTACTTTTATATATAAGATACCATAGTTATTCTAGGACAAACCTCAATGTTAAGACTTGTTTGTCCTTCAAGAATTTCCCAAAGGAGGAAATGGAATGTGCAGTCTACGAAGTGTGTGGTTTTACCTGAAAAAAGGACATGGATGCAATTCCATGAACTATATTTTTTTTCTTCCTTAAGTTTTGATATTTGCTTATAGTTATTAGATATTTGAAGTGATATAGTAGTACATTCTTAAGTATTCTAAAGGCACAGATATTCAAAGATATGAAGACACATTAGTAAGTTTTTCTCGCTTGCATACATTTTCCTGCACACGTACAGCGAGAAGGCTSAACTGTGAAAAGTGAAGGGCAATCATGGTACAGTTTTGAAGTGTAAGCTATTTTGTGTGGTTTTCATTTCAGATTGTGAACAAGTGCAGCCTCCACTGTGGCTTCAAACTCTGATGAATGCTTGCAAACAAGCGAGTGATTTCAGCATTCAAGGTGTTACTATTTCCCTTGTGATGGACTTGGTCGGATTGACTCAATCCGTGGCTCTTGTCACTGGAGAGAATCTGAACAGTGTGGAAACTGCTCAGCCTCTCAGCCCTAACCAGGGGCGAGTGGCCGTGGTCATTAGACCTCCCCTCACTCAAGGCAACCTGAGATTCATGGCTGAAAAGACAGATTTCTTCAAGGTACTGTGCTTTGTGCTGCCTCATTAATGTTTCCTTTAGGTCGTATTTTTTCTGACCAGTGAAGCCTGACAGTTCCTGCTATTTTGCTGTTCTTGCTATGGGAAACAAAGCTGCCTTGCTGAGCAGTTTGACTACTGTAGGCCATGTTTGCTGAGCTCTGTATGAAAACACGTAAACAGGTTTCCAACTGTGAGTGTTTTCTGATTGCTCAGGTGAAAACACTTGATTGAATCAAGATTTTGAAAATATAAATGAAAACTGTTTGAACAGCATCCCTAACATCTACAGGTAGCAAAGACAGCAGGCTGAGCTGTATGTACTACAGGAGTGTGACAAACTGCTCTTTCTGCATTTGTGATTTACGCAACACCTCCAAAAGATGATTGGCCACACAACCTATTAGGTAGTTAATTATATTCCAGTAGAAGCATCTTATTTTTGGAGATCACCGAGTTCTGACTCTGAACAGGGATGTTTTATGTCCTAAATTAACACACTGTTTTAGCAAGCTGCTTCTGTTCAGATAAATAGAAAAGAAAATTTTCTASGTAGCCTGTTAGTCATACAGTATCATCAGATGCAGTGTCTGTTGTCACTACATATATCTCAAGATAGTTTAGAGGGAAAATACATRTGTTATATGTATGATAGATATAAATGATGCTCACCCATTTTTTCTTGCAATGTTTATTTTCACCTACAAAGCATATAGCTTTAACTCTGTGGGACCAGCTGGGTGATGGAACTCCTCAGCATCATCAGAAGAGTGTGGAGCTTTTCTACCAGCTGCACAACCTTGTTCCGTCTTCTAGCATTTGTGAAGATGTTATTAGTCAGCAGCTGACTCACAGAGACAAGGTAAGTTGCTCCCACGGTTCCTAAAAGATAAGTTTTTTAAAAATACGGATATTTTTACAGAAACATGTTGGGAAAAAAAGGTTGTGGTGCTTCAGTGGAGGGCGTAAATAACTCCAGTATTTAAAAACATTATTTGAAACAGTTTTATAAACATAATACATTTAAAATACTCCTCTTTTATGCAGAACATTAGATTTGTCCTCTGGTGTTGCGAGAACACCAGAGAACAACACGAGAACACTTAACCTATCTTTGTATTTGACCCCTGTTTCGGTGACGTCTTAATATTTCACAGTCATTGATTCCTTTTTCCTTGTTACGCTTCTTTGAAGAATAGGRAATAATTTGTACAAAGAAACATCATCCAGAAAGATAAAATGCAGACAAAAAAGGGCTAGTAATGGTAGGAATTGGACCTAGACTTTCTTGGTTCTGTTCTGGTTTTCCAAACAGCTCTTCTTTTGTTGTACAGCTCCTTAAAATTTAAACTTTTATTTTGCTTTATCTTAACCAAACGCAGCTCTCCTAGGAACTCCCCCCTATTTCATCTAATCATTGTATCCTATCATGTAACTATGTTCATATAGCATCTATATGACCTCTTGCTTCCTTTCCTCCACAGCACTTGGAGCAAGAACTACATTTTTGCCATTACCACATCTCAGTTGCTTTTCTTGATAGGGATGTTGGATTCCTCTTTCATCAGGGCAGTTGTCTGTGGTCCTTCCTCTTCAACTTTCCATTCTTTAGGTGTCTCTCTTGTTTCCCTCCAGATGTGTTTTCTTCCCTGCCTTTGTGCCACCACCTCCTTGTTACAGTCTGAGGTCTGTGTTCAGTTCCTTGCCGTAAGAAACATCCCTCTCAGTCTGCAGCATTTGACATAACTTATCTGCTGCTTCTGCCTGAACTCCTTTTTTCTCCAACGTTTTCTTTTGTCTTKCTGATCATTCATACATAATCTTCTTGTAACAGCCAATATAAAGTTCAAACCAAAGAGCTGCTTGTGATTTTTGTGATTTTACTTCATTTGCAGTTGCCAAGAGCTGTACTCAAGATTTCTGAGCTCCATCCTCTGTAACTTTCCAGCTAGTGTTTCTGTAAGTGAAGAGGCTCCAGTTCAGTCCTTCCCAATCTCATATGGTGCCTTTCCTCCCTAGTTATTTGATTTACAAGATTTAAACTCTGACCCTTCCTGACACACTTGCCAGTTCCAGAGGGCAGCAAATAAACTGCTGAAGGATAATTGCCAGTTTTCTTTGTGCCTGCACCTCAGTGGAGATCTGGTCTGCTCTGGCTGATGTGGCTGCTGGCCTGCAGATTGTCRGCACGTTTCTTTTGAGCGTGTTGCTGAAGCTGCCCTTTTCTTGACRGCATTTATTTTAAATCATCTGAGAGCTGCTGCTTTGCCTCTCTGCTAATAGTGTCTGGTGTCTCGTTAGTGCTTTGTACCTTGGCCTAACTCCTGCTCTGCTACTGCAGGTTAAGTTGTTTACTCCCAAAGTCACGTGCTGTGTTTCTGCTCTTCCTCACTGAGGCACAAAGGTCTCTTTTCTCCCTGCTGGCTTTCCTTCAGAGGTCCTGTCTGCCCTACTAGCCACCTCTGCTCCACCCTCAGTGTAGCTAGTGCAAGTACAGCAGTGTTTGCAAAGCAGACACTGCTGAGAGTGTCTGTTTATGTCTGTGGTATCTCTTTGTACTGTCCTAGTAGGCAAAAGGAGCACGGACTGTTTTATGTAGGAAACTGCATTACCTACTTACCTACATAYATAGCACGTGCTTAGCTTTTGCAGCAATTAATAGGCAGTGCACTCTGAATGACTGGTGCTCTGTTTTTCTCTTGAAATTTGTTTCAGGTAGAGATAATCCATTTGACATTAGAGTCAAGGCCTTTGCAGAGCTTAAATGCATAGACTGGCCTCCCAGCCCCTGCCGGGTGCATGGTAGGAAATTCATTACCCGTTTCCAAGCACTGGCAATAGAGGCTCATGGGGTGTCACGAGCAGTTGTTTTTCCTGCTGTTGTGTCAGACCAGCAAGGGCCCCCGTGTGCGCCAGCTTGTCCATGGCTGCAGCTCCCAGCTTGGCGTGCTGGTAGYCCTGCTGCTGGCTGCAGCCGAMCTCACGGGCTGTGAGGTCTGCCACGTGCTGGGTCTGAGGAGGTGGCCCACCAGCATGTCCTGCCAGCCTTGCTCTCAGGACAGGAGCTTCTTAGATCTCCGCAGTGTRGACTGCAGGGGCTCACGTGAAGCCTTCTCCACAGGCCTGAGGGTTGGTTACTTTTTCATCAGCAGAAATTTTTTGGTGTGACCAGGCATGTTTTTGGCAGCTGGCTTTTGCTGTTGTAAGCGTATTGCTTTCTACCTACGTGTTATGTTTGCTTTTCCTTGCAGCATGATGCTGTTTCTATATTTTTTAGTCCGAGTCCGGTGTGATCTGGCTAATGGTCTTCTTATAATTTGCATTTTTTGTAACTTTAAATTAGAATTTACGTCGTTGTGGCACACACTGGTTGTATTAGTGGTTGCAGAATTTAAGCTCTGTGTTGTAAGGGAAGTGTGCCAGATTCTCAGTGACCTTAGCAGTTTGTGGCTTTGGTTCTTCACTAGAGGTAAATATASCTACTCCTTATTTCCTATAAGCACATGTCTCAAAAACCAACAAACAAAATGTGCATCATCTCTTTGTCTCCCTACTCATCTGCTAATGTAGTTTAAGCCCTCATTGTCTTTGAAACTGATTTCACTTGATGCTTTATTCGGTGTAGCCATCTTGTGGCTATGCTCTCTGTGCTTTCTTTGTTCAGTCCTACAGCTGCTTAGCAGCTCCCTTGTTTCTTGGATCATGCTGATGTTTACAGATACACCCGTATATTCTTATCACAGTGTRGCACTTGTTATTGTTTCCAGCCTTGCTGGAATAACTCTTTGCTCTGCTGACCACAGTAAAGAGAWGGAGAAGGAAATTCTTCATACCATTTCCAGAATTAAATATTTTGCATGTTGTATTATTAGCAGTGATGCACTCATCTGCTTCTTTAAGCATGTATRATTTGTTATGAAACTAAACTGTAGAATCTGGAGCAAAAAGTTAGAAACTTATTGATGGACTTTATGTATTATCTAGCTGGAAAACTCTTGCATTTCTATCTAGCCCTTTTCATCCCGTATTTTCTGGGATACTGTATTTAATCCCATGACTCCAGACGCTACCACTTGGTTGCTTACATCTAAATATTTCTCTAACAGTTCTTCTCTCTACCTCTATATCCTTGAGTTTTCCTCTTTAAAACCTAACCTGCTTTGTCCTGATCACTCTTTGTAATCTCTTCTGATGCTTGGTGTTGATTCTGATAAGCTCAGTGAAAGTGGAGCTGTCAACTCGCAGGAGTAAAATGAGTGTTGCTCAAGCTGTAGCAATTATATATTCAAAATTTGTCTCAAGCTAAATTTGGAAACAGGAAAGATCAGGATTGCAGGGGAGGAATCCTTTCTTGTTACTAAAGGTGTCTGTAAAATGTTACTATTGCCTGTAAAAAAAAAAAAAAAAAAAANGACTAGAAAAAGACTTAAAAAAAAAAAAAAGGCTAGAAATCACAATCAAATTTGTGATTTATAATAAATTGATACCTTTTAAGCTTCTGTATACCTCTCTTTTTCCAGTCCTTCTCAGAGGCTAGTGGTGCTCTCTTTGATCTAACATGTCATTTGCTCCCCAGAAAGTAAGAATGGAAGCTCACGCCAAGTTTGCGGTGCTGTGGCACCTCACCCGCGATCTCCATATCAACAAGTCTGCTTCCTTTGGCCGCACCTTCGACAGGTTGGTGACTGCAGCAGCCATTCAGCTGAAGCAATTTTGCTGCAAAATCTTCAACTGCATTGTGCTGGCAGCACCGAAGGTTTAAAGTGCAAAGAATCTCAGTGTAACTGTGGGAGCCAGGAAGGATGAAGCGAATCTGAGTGTTTGACAAATCTATTTTCATGCTGCTGATGATTATGTCAGCTATAGGTTTTTCTGATAGCTATAAAATGTATCCCTTCGTGCATTGRCCTAGAAGTTCACTGTATATTATTGAGTTTGCTATTGGGGATGTTGCTGTGACTTGGTAAAAACAAAAATAAGATAGAGAAGTCAACACAGGATTGCATTACATACAAACAGAAAATAAGGATAGAGTTAAGAGAATTTATGAAAAATCTGCAAGTAAGCACTAAGATATAAAAATGTCTTGTATAATCTGTATGTTTTTATGTAAGATATCACCTGCTGACAAGAAGTTAGATGAGTAAGGTATCTCTTGTTTTCCAGGCAACTCCATGGATTGGCTTTTTTAAATCTGGGGTTTTTTTTTTTTTTTTTGCAGTACTTAATAGTCAATGATAACTTGTTATTCCAGCAACAGTACAAATATTTTAACTGTCCATACTGCTACTACTACTGTGATAGCTATTGTAATTGATATTATTACTAGATCTTTCTGRTTAGTTCTTCATTAGGCTAGACTATAATTGAAAATGTTGGACCGCAAAATTTAGATCCCAAATAAAATAGTTTTCTACACAGGGAAAACACTGGAGTATGTCCCAACGTGCTTTATTTATCATATATTGGATTCATATGCGATTATTCTGTCTGTAGTATAGCATATGTGCTAAATTCATCCTTCCTTCTGTTGTAGATCTTTATTTATTATGCTAGACAGCCTTAATAGCTTAGATGGTTCGACGTGGTCGGTGGGACAAGCCTGGCTAAATCAAGTCCTCCAAAGACATGACATTGCAAGAGTGCTTGAACCTTTACTCCTGCTGCTTCTCCACCCAAAAACTCAGCGAGTTTCTGTTCAGCGAGTTCAGGCTGAATGTTACTGGACTAAATCTCCCTGCCACCCTGAGGAAGAAAATGAAAAGCACTTTATGCAGAAATTTAGCTGTGCAGATGGTATGTACAGCAGAGGACTGTAGGAAGTTTCTTATTTGTTTTTCTTATTTACAGATTACTTATTACAGTGATAAATTACTTATATACAAGTTACAAGTTGTTTACAGGTTATTATTTACAGTTAAGACATAGTACAAATTGTTGACAGTAATAAAGCTCTAGAATAAGTAGAGCTTACATGTACCTTTGTTTATGCATGCATAGATTTTCCTAATTCAAGCCTACCCGGTAGGCTTGATACCAAGTCTATCCAATGTATCTACCCAAAGATGCCCCAGGATGGTTTGAAGTTTCATTACTTCCAAATTAGGAAAATGCTCGGGTATTTTAATGTAGAATGTATTATTATGTCTTAATCACTTCAGTGGAACTTAAGCATATGTCTTGAAATATAACCAAGAGCTGCAGTGCTTTCTTTTTTTATTTTTTATTTTTTATTTTTTATTTTTTATTTTTTATTTTTTATTTTTTATTTTTTATTTTTTATTTTTTATTTTTTATTTTTTATTTTNATTTTTTATTTTTTATTTTTTATTTTTTATTTTTTATTTTTTATTTTTTATTTTTTATTTTTTATTTTTTATTTTTTATTTTTTATTTTTTATTTCTTATTTCTTATTTCTTATTTCTTATTTTTTTTTATTGCAAATTCATATTTTTGATTCTAAATATTACATATGTGATTTTCTGTGTTTTCCTTTAAGCTTTTTCTCATGTGCCTTTAAGTCAAGGACAACTTATACCTAAAGAGAGCAATGAAAAGCAACTTGTTATGGATGAAATGGAGAACTTCAGCCTGACTGTCAACCCCCTGAGTGACAGGCTTTCCTTGTTAAGTACCAGCAGTGAGACTATTCCAATGGTCGTGTCTGATTTTGACCTTCCTGACCATCAGGTTGAAGCTCTGCAGAGTTCTGACTCTGGCTGTTCTCAGTCATCTGTTGGAGACAACCTCAGTTATGAGGTAGAAACAGAAAGTTTGAGCGCTCAAGACAGCTCTCAGACTCTGAGAGAGGACTCACCCGATGAAATTGTGCAGCAAGTGGTTACTGATCTGATATGCCAGGTTGTAAGTGGCCTCGGAGAAGAGACTGAACCGGTCGCACGTGACCCGCACTCTGAGGATACTTCATGCAAGTTCAGTCCATTAGACAACTCTGAGGAGGTGACTAAAAGTGAAGATCAGAATATTCAAAGTAGCCAAAGTAGTTTGCTTAGTAACGACAGCTCCCAGCTGTTATCAGCATCAACTGAGACTGGACTAGAGAGTTTACGAGATGAAATTTCAAGAAATAACTCTTCGCCCTGTATTGCTGCAAGTCAGCAGTCTCTCTCTGATGTCGCTTTTACTTCCTTGGAATCAAAGGCCAGAAAGCGAAGCCACAGTAGCATTCAGTTCAGCTTCAAGGGAAAGCCACCAGAAAAGATGTCGGAGAAAGAAACGATTGTTAAAGAGTCAGGAAAGCAGCCAGGGGCAAAACCTAAAGTGAAAATAGCCAAGAAGAAAGATGAAGAGAAGAAGAAAGCGCAAACAGAGAAGCTTAAACAAACCAATGTCTTCTTCAGTGATGGTCTTGATTTAGAAAACTGGTACAGTTGTGGAGAAGGGGAGATCTCAGAAATAGAGAGTGATGTGGGCTCCCCCGGAATGCGGCGGCCTCCCCACTTCAATATCCATCCCTTGTATCAGCACGTCCTGCTCTATCTCCAGCTGTATGACTCTTCCAGGACACTCTATGCTTTCTCTGCAATCAAAGCAATCCTGAAAACCAATCCCTCAGCTTTTGTAAGTGCCATCTCTACTACCAGTGTCAACAATGCATACACTCCCCAGCTCTCCTTGCTCCAGAATCTTCTAGCCCGGCATCGAATATCTGTTATGGGCAAAGATTTCTACAGTCACATCCCAGTCGATTCGAACCATAACTTTCGGAGTTCTATGTACATAGAAATTCTTATCTCCTTGTGCTTGTACTATATGCGGAGCCACTATCCCACTCATGTTAAAGTAACCTCGCAGGACCTCATCGGAAACCGTAACATGCAGATGATGAGTATAGAGATTTTGACYCTTCTTTTTGCTGAGCTGGCCAAAGTCATAGAAAGCTCTGCCAAGGGCTTCCCCAGCTTCATTTCGGACATGTTATCCAAGTGCAAGGTTCAGAAAGTGATCCTGCATTGCCTGCTGTCCTCCATCTTCAGCGCGCAGAAGTGGCACAGCGAGAAGCTGGCTGGAAAGAACATAGTGGCTGTGGAAGAAGGCTTCTCTGAAGACAGCCTCATAAACTTCTCCGAAGATGAGTTTGATAACGGGAGCACGCTGCAGTCGCAGCTCCTGAAGGTGCTGCAGCGGCTCATCGTCCTGGAGCACCGCGTCATGACGGTGCCCGAGGAGAACGACGCGGGCTTCGACTTTGGCATAACGGACTTGGAGCACATCGGCCCTCAGCAGCCCATGACCTCCCTGCAGTACTTGCACTCGCAGCCCATCACCTGCCAGGGCATGTTCCTCTGCGCCGTCATAAGAGCTCTGCATCAACACTGTGCCTGTAAAATGCATCCCCAGTGGATTGGCCTTATCACCTCCACCTTGCCTTACATGGGGAAAGTTCTGCAGAGGGTCGTCGTTTCCGTGACCCTTCAGCTTTGCAGGAACTTGGATAACTTGATTCAGCAGTATAAATATGAAACGGGGTTATCTGATAATAGGTATGTGTATGTGGAGATTATCAGTTCTTATTTTCCAAACAGATTTTAATTTATTGAATTAATTCACCATCAGAAGAATTACTAACAAACGGAATCTTTTATTTTAGGCCTCTCTGGATGGCATCGGTCACTCCACCAGATATGATTCTGACTTTGTTGGAAGGTATCACCACAATAATTCATTACTGCCTCCTGGATCCAGCTACACAGTATCATCAGGTAAGCCTGCTCGAGTGGCTGAAGGATTCCTATGCATATGATGGTGTTAACAGTGCTTGTATATGGGTACTTGAGAGGAAAAATACTGAAAATTACTATCTTGGCTATAAATATGTTTTTCATTGTTATCTATACATCTTAAACAGAAGAGCATTTGCCTACAAATAAGATCTTTGAGAGAATATCCTTAGTTTGGGGCAGGATTATGTGTTTTTTGTTGTTTTGGTTTTTGCTAAAATAGCGAAGTAGAAATTCATCAACTTTCAGAGCTCTGAGATGCCACSTTTTAGAGCTGGATTCCTTTGTGGGACTTTACAGGCTGATGCCTTTGTTTTCTGGCTGGATTTTGTTCATCTCGCAATATGGCAAAATACCCTATTTCTGTAGTTCATGTATATTCACAATTTGCCATTTTATTCAAGGGGATATTTTTGGATCTGATATTCTCAGCATAGTCTATATCAGGAATTTGGCCCAGATTGTGCAATACAATTTTTGTCGTCCTGTTTGTTTTCTGTTTGTTCTGTTTGTTTACGTTTCCCTTCTCTTTCTGCTGATTAAGAAATGACTGAGAAGAGTTTGCTTTCTGTGCAAATAAACAATTTTGCACAGAGTATGTTAATTTCCCCTCAAATTCTGAAATAATTACCTTTTGCAAAGTTATTGGCAAATGATAGAAAATTGATCATTGGACRCATGTTCACATGTTTAGAAAACATTCCATACTGAAAGACTAAGTCAAAAGATTAGTTTATTCTTATACAATAGACTCAAAACTCTATATAATCTAAGAATTAATAAAAGTATTTTGAAAAGGAGTTGAAGTTGTACATTTTGTCCATGAAATTTCAATTCACAACTATTTTAGTAAGGTTGTTTTTATAAAAATGTTTAATGCCCTTCCTCCCATCTCCCTTAAAATGCACTAGCTTTTGGTTAATGTGGATCAGAAACACTTGATTGAAGCTCGCAATGGGATCCTGTCTATCCTGCACATGATCATGTCTTCTGTGACCCTTCTGTGGAGCATCCTCCACCTTGCAGATTCTTCGGAGAAAACAACTGCTGCTGCTGCTTCCATTACCACTATTAATCTTGGATCAACAAAGGTCAGAATGTCAGGAATTATCTCATTTAAATTGCTCATGARTACGTCTGTCAACTAAATTCACTTCCCTTAAGTATAGATTGTGCCTATATCCATCCATTCCATAAGCAGGGCTTTTATAAACATCTATTGAATCACCTGGAACAACGTGCCTCCCTTCTTGGCTTTCTGCAAAGGAAATCACTTCCATCCCAAAGAACAGTTGAAGCCCTTTAAGACTCCCCTTTTATTTCTCAAAGAATATTAAATATCCATATTAAATCTTACCAAAAATGAGCTCTGCTTTTAAAACAGCTTGTATTTGGACATTTGTGAATTAGTTCTTTACTCATGCAACTCTTCTACAGTGATATCCTTATACACAAGGAAATGTCATAGCTGGCAGTAAATCAATAACCATAAAGATGAGACGCTGAGAACTCTGCCTGGCTCTTCAGCTGAATGCAGTTCAGACTTGCACTTCACATTAAGTGACTATCATTTAAACTTCAAGTATTTTAAAGTAAGATTTGCTCATAGTTAATTTGAATATATCAGGTATCGTAACACAGCGTCATCACAAAACAATTCTTTCAGCCTTTGCCATTCAAAGTGAGGCAGTAATAGGTAACTGCTTGTATTGTTTTTGCACAGACATGATTCTGTGGTCTTACTTGTGCTTCCAGGAAAACTTTCCAGTCACTGATGAGAAGTCTGCACTTGTGGATGACCTATATGCATTATGCTTCTCTGAAAATAAGACAAGCTTTTATATGCTGATCCAGCATTAATTCTTTTGTAAATCCCAGWTTTTCTTTATTTTGCCCAAATCCACATTATTTAAAAGAGCATTTAACCTATCCTGGATATGAAAAATCCTGGTGGAATTCAGCTAGTCACCTATTAGAGCAGGTTCTTACTGTTCCACCCCAGGCCTTGGTGTCCTGCTTACAGCTGCCTCAGAGTTGCTGGTCGTGGCTGAGAACTCCCCAGTTGCAGAGGGTTGGGCCCCCAGATGTGAGTGAGCTTCAGGCCAGCTGGGCTGCTTTGGCAGCTCCTTCCTGCAGGCTTGGAGAATTCCTTCTGAAATACCTCAGACCAAAGTAGAAATGGCTGTCAGCAAAGAGACAGGAAACATAATCCTTCTGTCAAAGAGAACAGGGTCAGAAGTAGTCTCAGGAAGCACATACTATTTTTCTTGATCCAAGTGTGACGGAATAACTTTTGACCTTGTTTTAAGAAACATTATTAAGCATTTCAACGATTAAAATTTCAGCCTCCCAGAGTTAGCTTGTTCTGTGATTTTCTTCCTACTTYTTAATCTCTGTCCCATTTTTCTGTAAATTAAGCCTTTCACTGTTCATATTGGACCTGAACTTGTTCCTTTCTCCTTGTAATTACTTCATTTATATTTGAAAACTGTTATATCCCCACTAACTTTATTTTCTCTAAACTACACAAATTAATTTCTGCTTCTATAGGTCATATTTTCTATATCACTAATCTTTCTTCTTTCTTTATAGTTTGGGTTCTCTCAGCTTGTGTACRCTCCTTGAAGTAAGGTGTCCAAAACTGGGCATGCCACATGGTATCCTCCTCCAGGGGAAAAACTGTTTCATGTCTTGCATGCAGTGCTGCTCTTTGTGGATGCTTTTTTGCTTTCCTTATCGTTGCTGACTCAGTGAGTTTGTGATCCATTTTAATTCCAAGATTTTTTTAAATTTTTTCAGCAGCACTGCTACCTAAATACTTACTCATCCTCAATTGCTGAAGTGGTTTATTCCTACCCTTGCATGCAAAGCCCAAGGACATTTCCACACTTTCTCAGGTCACTTTGAACTCTGTGCCTTTCGGTATCAGCTGCTTTCCACTTGATTCATATTTGAAAATTTTACGAGTGTATTTTCTCTTCCATAGCTTTAGTCATTAAGAAAATGATTAAAGAGTATCAGAGATATTCCTTTCTGACAAACAAACTGGTGACATTTGCCATGAGTGTGGCTCCGTAGCTGGTCTTTGAAGGGCAGGTTGTGGTGCTCATTTAAAAGGATACATGTTCTGCTTCCATGTTTCAGAATTTGAGGCAGCAGATTCTCGAACTGTTGGGCCCAATTTCAATGAATCATGGTGTTCACTTCATGGCTGCCATTGCATTTGTGTGGAATGAGAGGAGACAGAACAAAAACGCTTCTAGGACTAAGGTATGTGTGTAACATGGTCGCTTTGCATAGAGGCAGCGCCTCCTAGGGATTTAAAACATTAAGGTTAAGATGGGGGTTCCAGTCAAAAATGTACYGAATATGGAAAATATTTCTATAAATTGTATTCTTAAATTAGCAGCTATATGTTCCCAGAGGCATTTAGAAGTAGATTATCTTTGTGAATTCTTCAGGAACAGAGTAAATAGCGCCAAGCCTCCAGATGAACTATTAATTACTGGTATTTTAGCTAAAGCAGGGTGCCTCCTGTTGTGACTGTGATAAAAAAAAATAATGATTTCTTTAAAACTTGTTTTTTTTTTCTGTTCTGTACCTGTGGAATCTAGGACAATATGAGTCCAGTCTGTCAGCAAGTTTCTTATGCAATACAGAAAGGTAGTAACAGGCAAGCTTAGGAATATGGGTATATACTATGAGCCTTCATAAATAGAATGCATGAGCATTTTTGCTCATATAAATACTTTCCACTATTGGCGTAATCTTTTTAAAGCGCGATTGKTTTTTTTTTCAGTGAATTTAGTCCAGTGAATTACTCATGTAATTGTCTCACACACCACAGGCGATTATATGCTGCTCCCTTCAGCACACTCCCCAACCACTATTTAGATTTTTAAGATTGCATTGCAATTTTAAAATACAAGATTRTATTACATATTCAACAGTGACTCTCAGGAGCCCTTGATTCTCATCACACCCTAGATAGAAATGACTTCCATAAATTCATGTCTGGCATATCAAGCACAGCATGTCCTATTTGCAAATGCTGCCAGTATTTAGCTAACAGAAAAATCTATAGTGTTTTGTTAAGGAACATATTTCCAAATTACAAAGCAGCAAATTAGAAACCAGATTCACTTTTTGGTCTATAGTGACATGCTCTTGTAGGAAAGAGTTTATATCTGCTACCTAATTCTCCTCTGTAGTAGCAGGTCTCTTYGGCTTCACTTGCTAAGAACCCTGTGAGGCAGCTTATCTCAATTGTGGCCCAGGCACTGCCTGGGATGAAGGTTTCTGATGGACATTGATCTTTTTAGGTGATTCCTGCTGCTGGTGAAGAGCAACTTCTGCTGGTAGAGCTAGTTCGCTCCATCAGTGTGATGAGGACTGAGACTGTTATACAAACAGTGAAAGAAGTTCTGAAGCAGCCTCCAGCCATAGCAAAGGACAAGGTATGAACCCCGTAGATGCACTGTTCATTTATTTAATATCTTTTTACAGAAGCGTAGACATTAAGTGATTGTTTACTGCTTCACAAATTCAAGCAAGTGGTTCACACTTCCATTCCCTACAGTGTGAAAGTTTTGATTATCTAGTAGATGAATGGACCTTTGTGAGGGAAAGGAAAGGAAGTCAACCTCCTTAAGTTACTAGCATTTATTGAAAAACTCCAGAATCCCGTTTACTCCTTCTGCAGAAGGCGATGTTTCATGGGAATAGGGTGAGGGAAATGAACATCTATCCTGGAGTCAGATTGACTTCTTTCAGGTGAGAAGGGGAAGTGGGAAAAGAGGAAAAAGTAAAAGAAAAGAATGACTATATATTAGTCAGCCTGAATGGGAATTCAGAAGATACTGTTAATGAAATAAATTATCTTCAGTCACTGCCATAACATTTTAGTAGAGCCATTTTTGCAATGATCAACAACAACAAGTCAGCTGCTTCTTTCTAATCACAAAGATTTCATCTCTTCTTCCTAGAAACATCTTTCACTGGAAGTCTGCATGTTGCAGTTTTTCTATGCTTATACTCAGAGGTAAGACAAGTTATGTTTTATTTCTCTCACCAAGGAGTAGGTGGACACTCTGAGCATTTTTATCTTTTTTAATGCATAGAATTAAAAATATCCCTGTATAATCTGAAGAATGAAAAGGAATAGTTTTGAACTCTGGGTATTATAATGAGGAAAGATGTTTCCCAAATTCTGCATCACCTTTCTTCCCCTATCTAAAATTCCACGCTCCAGCCCCCGAAAGCTGAACTGGGCACCACTCCAGCCCCGGCCCGAAAAGCATCTTTTGAGCACACAGTTCTGTCTCCCTCCCTTTCTTGAGTCTGCAAGCTTCAAGCTTGATGTAACCACTAAGTATKAATCGAGGCATTAAACAAGAAGAGATCTATGTGTGTGTTGATTCACAGCATCAGACAGGAGAACTGTGAAGTAAAAAGAAAATGGGGAATACTTGAGAGACAAGATGCTGTTTTCACTGCTGCAGTTACTTCCTCTTTTAGGATCCCAGTGACCAGCTTAGTAGATAGTTGGGCATCGCTGCTGCTTCTGCTAAAGGACTCTATCCAGGTTGGTCTTCCAGCTCCAGGACAATTCCTTATACTTGGGTAAGCACTTGATATTTGTGGTTTCTAAGGAAGTTCAAGTATAAGTGTGTGAAATCATATTGAGTGATAATAACTCCAAATTACTGTCRCTAATTTTTTGAGTGAAGAGGAATCCATATTTCTTAGTCTATTGAATTAATTTATTTTCTGAGGAAAGGTTATATGGATAAAACAATATATTGTGATAGGAGATATGCCAAGGTTTTTATTACATTACTGATTATTTGAGCCATTCGGACTCTTTTAAAAAGACAGTGGGTTTATGCTTCTGATTTTACTTAGAAAGTAACTGTAATTAATGTTTGGTAAGTATATGTAAATTTATAGCCTACCAGAAAAGATTAATTGCCAACATAGAAACTGTTTGGGGAGTATTTGAAATAAAATGTTGAATGTGGTTTTCTGYATAAGCACAAAGCACTGTTTTCTGGACTTTAATTTTGCTAATAAAAGGGATTTTAATTTTGCTAATAAATTATCCCTAAATATATTTTTTATGTATTCTAGTAAAACATATATATGATAAACTATTGTGGTTAGGTCCTTGGGAAATGCCCTCTTCCAGTTAAGAAACTGAGAAACCTGTTTTTTAGAATGTTAGTAAATTAAAGAGAAATAACTGAAGATTAAGCAAATAATAATTATGCATACAAATTTCTTCAGAGTTGTCCTAACTGAATTTTTATTATAATAATAATAAAATCTTTGTCTACTTGATTATTTTTTTTCAGTGTTCTTAATGAGTTTATTATGAAAAATCCAAGTCTGGAGAATAAGAAAGATCAGAGAGATCTTCAGGTAAATATGCGCATATATATATATATATGTATGTATGTATGTATTTAACTTTGATAATATTGAACAGTAAGAGCCTCATTTTAAGGAAAACATGAATGACAACAGAGTATCCAAATGAGCTGTAGCGGGGATATCGTGAAGAGATAATTGGTGGGAAGTGCTGTGGAGTTAGAGAGCAGCCTGTGTAAACCACGCAGTCCGTGACAGCACGTAGCTCCTGATGGATATTTCCTTTCCTCTATTAAAAACAAATGTCTGTATATTCTGTTTTTATTTAGTGTTCTAATGTCCAGAGGTGATTTCTACAAGCAAAGACCTTGTCTGTGCCTTTATATGACTGTTTATGATTTCCAAACTTTTTTTTCTCATATTTCCTGGGCTTCCTGAAGTCTCTCTCTTTCTCTTTTTATTTATTTTTTCTTGGAGCAATTGTTTGAGAAACTCTGTTGGAGGCCCCCAAGTAAGCTGGGTAACCCCTTAGTGTTTTCATAAGAAGTCCGCTGGCTTTAATAGATCTGTCCTTCTGTACAACTCATTCTGTTGTTACCAGGTGATTTTTGGCTGCTTGAAACTGCTTCTTTATTTTTTGCTGTGAGGTACAATGAGAATTTACTGGAACATGATTTTTAAAATTTTTTTAACAAATATTCTGAATTTAAGTGCTTATAATTGAAGAAAAAGGTACAGGTGATCACCATCATAATAGAACCTTTTCCCTGCTGGCAGTTTTATATTCTGCACTGGATGTTTAATTAAAGATCAATAGGGATGTAAGGATGTACTCTGATTTAGATGAGAGCCAGGTGCTTGTGTTTTGCATGTATCAGACTTAAGTAAGTGATTACAATTCACAGCACGCTGGGTTAGGGTGATGTGGTGGTTGTGCAGACTTTTCTCTCTCCGTGTTTGCCATGTGCCAGAGCAGGTGGCACCTCTGGAGTAGTGATCGTGTTGCAACGTGGTGCCATGCCTGTTGCTGGAGTCTTGAGCCTAAATTCCTAGTGCCTGCAAATCTTATGGGGAAAGTTTTAGGTGGAGTTGTTTATTCTCAGCCCACGGAYGTTAGAGAGAGCGGGTGGAAGCTCAGGGCAGGACGATGCATTTGCCTCTCGTGGAAGAGGGTAGTTGGTAGTGCAGAGTGGGCTGCCTGTGCACTCAGTACAGGTGCAGGCTACGTGGCTGATGTAACTTCATGCTTATAAAAGCTGGCTCGCCAATCAAGATCTGATGAATCTGATCTTGTTTATGTAAGTGATATAGGATGTGAAAAGGTTTTTTGTTTTTGTTGGTTGTTCGTTTTTTGTTTTTCCAAATATCTCTGGATTAAGAAAGAACATTTGAGATCCCCAGGGATGTGAAGTTTAACAGAAAAAAGGTGCTTCCAAGCAGACGATGTTGAAAAACACAGCAGAGCCCTGCCTGAGTTTAGCAGTCACATTCATACACAGATTATAACTTCCTTGCTCATACTAAAGCCCCTGTGGAGTAAACCTTAGGGATTATTTTTTTAATAATATTTTAAATAATATATTTTAATACACATTTTGATAATTTTTTTTTAACAAAAAGTTTGCTGCCACAACTAGATGCATGTTTAGAAGTGGGTTAGATATATTTCCATAAAGGAATTCTGAAATTTTATATATATATATGTATATATATATATATAAAAATTATATATATGTATAGTCCTGGTTGTTCATAGAGAGGTACACTAAACATCTACAGATTTTTGTTTACTAATCAGAACCTTTCTTGAATGTATTTATTTCTTATGTGCTCTGAAATAGGTCTTTGGTATCTTCTGTTTAGTACACTCATGTTTGATTTTATCTGTGGAGAAATCTCATATGTCTTCTAGGGAGTTATTCATCACTGATAATATTAAGCAGAAAAAGAAGATAACTGAATAAGTTATATAGAATTCCACAAAAACAGGTCCTGACAACAAATGTAGGAACTTCTGTGGAAAGTTCCTAGGATGTTTAGTTGTTGTTTTTCCACCAGGATGTAACCCACAAGATCGTGGATGCCATTGGGGCAATTGCTGGTTCTTCCTTGGAACAGACCACGTGGCTGAGACGCAACTTGGAGGTCAAACCTTCCCCCAAGATAATGGTGGACGGGAACAACCTGGAATCTGATGTTGAAGGTGGCTTTGTTTTCATCTTTTATTTCAGATAAAGCATTTGTAATTAATTTTCAGACCAAAATTAAGGAAGCTTTAACTTATTTGAATATGTATCTATGTATTAGAAGTGAAAATACTAAATCAGTATTTTATAGTATTTTTTTAATATTTTATAAGTATTTATAAAAATGCTTCTGTATTAGCATGCTGAGGTGTTGGTATCCTATGTAGTGTGTTAACAGAGTCTGTACAACTTCAAAATATATGATATTAAGATATGCTTTTAGAGTAAATAATGGCTTAAGAAAATTAACTTTGGACATTTTTTATTATTATTTTTGTTTAGATATGTTGTCTCCAGCAATGGAAACTTCAAACATAACTCCATCAGTTTATAGTGTCCATGCATTAACCTTACTTTCTGAGGTAAATGTCTCCTCAGGTGTACTAAATACTGATTTATAATAATCTTTTATATTGCAAAAAGGTTTTTTCTTTAGACATTTGGGGAAAAGAGATTTGACTGGAAACATTGATGTGAAAAGATAGGGATTCCTGTCATATAAAAATATATAAAGCTAATTAAGCAGCTTATGAAGATTCAGAGAGATGAATGCAAAGTAGAGTGTGCCTCTTCAGAGCTGGTGCAGGGGATGATTTTGGTGGCAGACTTTCTGTGCTGCTAGTAGTACATGTTATTTTCTGATAACCATACGCAATGTTTGCAATTTTCTTATTTTGTAGCTTATTCTGTAGAATGTTTTGACCTAAAGTTTATRCTTTTGTGTTTTTGCCTAAGTTGAAGGCACGTTTCTACTTTAGATTTTATGTTGTAGCTGAAATTTGATTGCCTCTCTTGTAAGCTCAAACACTCAGTGCACACAGTACAAAAATCAGTTGTWTTTGGTGAGCATAAAGTAGCAGGGGTGGGAGCAGTAACTTTGTGTCTCACTTTTTACAGGTTTTGGCCCATCTCCTGGATATGGTTTTCTACAGCGATGAGAAAGAGAGAGTCATTCCTCTGCTCGTGAATATCATGCACTACGTTGTCCCCTACCTCCGTAATCACAGGTATCTTCRCAATTCTTCAACTTATAATCTTTGTAGATTAGAGAAATTCGGTGTGTCCGATGCTTTGGTTGAATCAGACAGGATACACATTGACTGTCTGTTGCAAACCCCTTATAAAGCAGCAGTTTAAAATCACCCCGTGTTGCCTTTTTGTGCAGCGCTCACAACGCGTCCAGCTATCGAGCCTGCGTGCAGCTACTAAGCAGTCTCAGTGGGTACCAGTACACAAGAAGAGCCTGGAAGAAGGAGGCGTTTGATCTCTTCATGGACTCCAGCTTCTTCCAAATGGACGCTTCTTGTGTCAACCAGTAAGGCTGCCTCTTGCCTGTGTTGGTGGCTGTTGCATGTTTTCTGTATATATATGCTCTTACACATGAAAATATGTCTTGGGGAGCAAAATTTCCCAAGTTAYCTCCCTTGAGAGTAGAAAAGAAGGATAATGTTTCAACTTCAATTTTMTTTGSTATATATATATATAYACATATATTCTTAATAAGATACAATTCTTAAGCATTTTATAGGTATGTATCAATCAAACTGTACTGACCTATATASCAAAGAGTTATTAGAAGTTTTAACAAATGCGAGACAGTTTAGTTAAAGTGCAGAACGTTTTCTCTAAGGATTTCTTCTAATTTGTGCCCCGTCTTCTCCTTGTAGTTGGAGAGCTATTATGGATAATTTGATGACTCATGACAAAACGACATTCAGAGATTTGATGAGTAAGTATTATTGACGTGCGAAARGGAAAAATGGAAAAAAAAGCAAGTACTTTGAAAGCTTTGGTTCATCTCTGAATAATTTTCACAGACTGGGGTTTTTTTTCTTCCATTTTTTTTATGGAGATTCATAAGTAAAATCATTTGAAGTGAGGGCTTTTATTAGACCATTCTGGCCCACAGTGGTTTTTGTTTGTAAAACAGAATGTATTAACCAGACAGGATTTTTTTTCCCCAGACAGTAATTTTTTCCCCAGTTGATTCTGCACAAACTTCTGACAATCTGTATATGCAAATTATATTTAAAATAGACAGAACAAATTTCACAGGGATTGTGTAAATCTAAGATTTATTCACAGAATCACAGAAGGGTTGAGGTTGGAAGGGACCTCCAGAGACCATCCAGTCCCACCC